AATTCCACATATCTAAGGGTCACAACGCTCACCATTGGAGTTTATCAGGTAGCAGAGCAATTTCCCAGACCAAATCTTCAAGCTTAATCAGAAAACATGGGTTTTATTCCCAAGACCAACTTTAAAAAAGGCAAGCGACTAAGGCTGTGCCTCTTGGGATCCCCAATTAATCTAAAGCATGTAATGAAAACTGCCCTCTCCCAAAGTGAGTAACTGCTGATGGTCTGGCCATGGGATCTGATTAATTCATAATATTGACAGTTTTTTAAAAAGTTTTTCTCAAATCGAAACACAAATAAATGGATCTCCCCTCCTAACCAAATAACTTTCCAACATTCATGGACATTTTAATACATTCCTCAATTCCTCATGCTCTCACTGATTATACATTTCAGTAAAATGAAAGAATGAAAGTTACAGCATTTGACCTATTCCATTATATATGTATAGAATTTTCAGAGAAAAACAGAATTTTAATGGACTGGAAAAACAGCCTTCAAATGTTTCATGCATCTGAAATTGGGATCACCACTGGAGAGACTCAGTTGTCCAATAGGGTAGCCACTAACCATGGGGCTATTGAGCACTTGAAATATGGTTAATCCAAATTGAGATGTACTGCCAGAAAATACACTGAATATCAAAGACTTAGTATTACAAACAATGTAAAAAATATTCTTAAATATTTTTATATATCATTATATACACATTGGGAAATAATATTTTGTATAGGAGTATTCCATTAAGTAAAATATATTACTAAACACCTCTGCGATTCAGTTCCCAGAAAGTTGGGGTGCAACTATTACAATAAAATACTTATATTGCAAAATATTAGAAATATGATATTCTCCAAAGATTAAATATAACATTAAAATGTAAGGGTCCATTCAAGTTTCCAACAACTATTGCACTCAATTTCTTTTCACTTTAAAAAGTAGAAAATTAAGAATTATATACACTTGGTTTGTACTTTGTAGCCGGGTATAGATAATCAGTTTTCATGCCCCACCTGTTAGCCTCAATTTTTTGACTGTCTTTTATTCTTACACTGGTGAATATATTATGTTAGCTTTCAATTATTTGCAACAAGTAGGTGGACTGAGGATATCTAAGATTAACATATTCCCAGGTAATTAAAAACTAAATTTTTTAATTATTAACTCAATCTCTTCTGTTATTCCATTTTTCTCCTCAATACTGTCAGAAAATAATAAAACAATCTGCCTTAGGATTCATTCTCTTCTTCTTCCTTTTAAATGTGGACTCACCCAGAAGAAGCAATAAAGAATGAAATGTTATCCTATGAGATGGAAGATAAAAAAGAAGCAGGAGGCAAGAATGATAAGAAACTAGGATATCTGCTCTATGGAGATCACTTAACTTTCAAGTCCACCTCATGAATTTAGCCATTGAGCCGAGTGCTGGCTGCTGGGAGCTTTGTTTGTTTGTTTCGGAGATAGGGTCTCACTCTGTCACCCAGGCTGGAATACAGTGGCAGTTAGCTACCTGGTGGTTCACTGCAGCCTTGACCTTGACCTCTCCAGCTCAAGGGATCCTCCCACCTCAGCCTCCCAAGTAGCTGGGACTAGAGGCGCATGCCACCACACGCAGCTAATTTTTTCTATTTTCTGTAGAGACAGGGTTTCACCATGTTGCCTAGGCTGGTATCAAACTTCTGGGCTCAAGCAATCCTCCTGCCTCAGCCTTCCAAAGTGCTGGGATTACAGGCCTGAGCCACTGTGCCTGGCTGATTCAGCACTGTTTATTGGATGGCCTGCCATATGCTAAGCCTTTGGTTGGTATTGAGAAAAAGTAGCCCGTTAACTTAGAATCATCCTTATATAATAATGGTACTATGCTGAATTTTCTCTGATTTACTTGTCACACATCGACTTGTGACACTGTATTATGTTGGCTATCCAAGTGTCAATAGTATCATGAACAAGGTCTCATTGAAGAAGAAAAAGCTGAGAAGAAACTTACAAAGACAAAGAAAATGTACTCACCTTGGGAAGGAAAAATAAATAAACAAAAAGATGTATGAGAACAGGCTGTAAAGAAGAAGATGGTAGTCAAGTCACTGGAGTATAGTCTAAATGATAGGCAGTTTACTATGTGGAGCCATTTAGCCTCAAAGAAGCAGACGCCTTTGAATATGGCAAGGCAAGAGCCTTCAATCATCCTAAATGAATCTGATAACAAATACGGATGTTTATTTCTTCCACACCAGTCCCATTTTAGAGGAAGAAAAAACAGCAGGTCATTTTATCCTTAAGACTTCTTAACTAGCGGGTATATCAGAACATACTGGCATCCTAGGCTTAAACCACCAGTTTAGAGAATTCTTCACTTCTTAAACAAGATACAGTCATTCTATAATCGTGGTAATTGAGGGCCTGAATCTAAGAGACTTCCTCAGAGGGTTTCAAAAAAATATTTCTCCCCCAGGAAAAGAAAACCTTTTCAGAGCTCAAAAGAAGTATATAGTCTACACAAAGCAGGGTTAGGTGGGAAAAGCTTCTCAGACAAGCTAAATTTAAGTGGTGTGTATCTGAAATTATTCAAAACCTATATCTTAAATAGAAAATGCACTAGAGAGAGATAGAGAATCATTCTCAATTTTACAGAAAAGGAGCTGTTTCTCCTCTTGAACTCAAGATACTATCCTTACGAATGGAAGTATTTTTCAAAGTCAGGTCAGGCAGGAAAACCTTTAAAGTTTTTAAACCTCTTTATTTATACTACCTACTTATTTCTACCCAAGAACTGGTAAGCATCAGTTATGAAAACTTCATCTCTATAAGACACTAGCACATCTAACAATTCTCATGGTAAAGGTACAAGTGAATCTCAAAGAAACTTACAGTGTGGTGCACATTTTTGTCAGCTATCCAGTGCATTTAAATTTTTGTGGAATACTTATAAATCCTTTTGTTTCCTTTGTTTTCTAGAAACATGCCAGGCCAGGTGTGTGGTGGCCTGCGTCTGTAATCTCAGCACTTTGGGAGGCCGAGGCGGGTGGGTCATGAGGTCAAGAGATCAAGACCATTCAATCCTGGCCGCTGGAACAGAAGCCCCGTCTACTAAAAATACAAATTACCTGGGTGTGGTGGTGGTGCGCACCCAAAGGTCCCAAAGTAGCTACTCTGGAGGCTGAGGCAGGAGAATCACTTGAATCTGACGTGAGGTTGTGTGTGCGAGCCAAACCATGCCATTGCACTCCAGCCTGGCAACAGAGCAAGCACTGTCACCAAAAAGAAAGAAAGAAAGAAGAAGGTAATGGAATAAGGAAGGAAGGTATGAAGGAAGGGAATAGAAGGAAGGAAGGAAGGGGAAGAAGGAAGGAGGGAAGGAAGGAGGGTGGAAGGAGAGAAGGAGAGAAAGAGAGAAAGAAAAGAGGAGAAAAAGGAAAAAAGAAGAAAGGAAAGAAAGAAACAGGTCTATGTGTCTTTCACTGAATTTTCTTAAAGATCCTCTGAGGTGTGTAGAGAAGTTTTATTATCATGATTTAAAATGAATAAAATGGGATAGCCATGGTGTGGCTTCAAACTCTAATCCTAGCACTTTGGGGAGGCTGAAGCTGGTGGATTGCCTGAGTTCAGGAGTTTGAGACCAGCCATGGGCAACATGGCAAAACCCTGTCTCTACTAAAAATAAGGAAAGATTAGCTGGGCGTGGTGGCGCAGCTGCGCCTAAAATCCTGGCTTACTCAGAGGCTGAGGGACAAGAATCGCTTAACCTTGGAGGCTGGTAGGTTGCAGAGCCAAGATTGTGCCACTGTACTCCAAAGGCGACAGGAGCAAGACTCTGGTCCCAAACAAAAGATAGTGGCCGGGATGTGAGGCCTAGGCCTTTCGTAATCCCACGTTGGGAGGTCGATGGGCTGGATCACGAGGTCAGGAGATCGAGACCAGCTCGCTGGCTAACAAGGTGAAACTCCCGTCTCTACTAAAAATACAAAAACTGCCAGCCAGGTGGTGAGGTGGCGGGTGCCTGGGTAGTCCCAGCTACTCGGGAGGCAGGGTATGGCACCCAGAATGGTCGCAACCTGGGAGGCGGAGCTTGCAAGTGAGCTGAGATCCGGCCACTGCACTCCAGCCTGAGAATAGAGCGACTTGTCCCAAAAAAATAGGTGTGGTAGATAGATAGATAGATAGAGGAGTAGATAGATAGATAGATAATAGATGATAGATAAGTTAGATAGATAGATAATAGATAGATAGATAATAGATAGATAATAGAGAGAGAGAAAGAGATAGATAGATAGATAGATAGACAGATAATAGATAGAGCGATAGATAACAGATAGATAGACAATAGATAGATAATAGAGAGAGAGAGGAGAAAGAGATAGATAAGAGAGATAGGATAGAGACAAGGGGCAAGAGAGAGAGAGATAGATAGATAGATATGGAGTGGACGCCAGTGGTAACTAAAACAAAGTAATAGATAGATAGATAGATAGATAGATAGATAGATAGATAGATAGATAGATAGATGAATAAAATGAAGTACAGAGAGTTTTACTGACAGAAGTGCAGATCCTCTGCTTAGCTCAGGAAGGTTCTCTCTTTGGTCATAACATGACTTCCAAAGACCCTCATTTACTCTGGCTCTCCCTTCCTTGTAGCCCTTCTCTCTTTTGTTCTTCTTATGTACTAAACTTATTCAAATCTGACTTTTCACCAGAGGGAATATTCTCACTAGTGGAAGAACAGTTCAGGTTTCCTCCACCACCCCTGCAGCCCTAAAAAACACTTTAAGATGACTCACAAAACAAACCTTTCAGCTTCCAGGGCAAAAAAAATAAGTTTCATTAAAATGCTTAGAATATATTTAGTTTGTTTGGGTTTATTTTTCTTTCTTTCTTTTTTTTTTTTTTTTTTTTTTTTGGTATTTTAAGTTTTATTTCAATTGTTTTGATTTGCCTTGAAAAGTTTTATGGAACCCTTTGTTCGTTGACCAACTACTGTGTTTTTGCTGTCTATAAAATGCAGAATGTGGCAGTCACCCCAAGTTCAGCTGACAGAGTTGCTAACGGTGATGGGATACCTGGAGATGAACAAGCTGAAAATAAGGAAGATGATCAAGCTGGTGTCGTGAAGTTTGGATGGGTGAAAGGTGTGCTGGTGAGAAAGCTCCTCTGTTTACAAATTAAAACTATCCATTCAATGTTCTAGTGGATTAAGAGTGAACAAGGCCTGGGCACAGCGTTATGAAGAGCTCCGGGTTTTGTCCCACTATCATTGTCCTGTCTCCTTTCAATACCGCTTCTATCCACAGGTAAGATGCATGCTGAACATCTGGGGAGTCATGCTCTTCATTCGCCTCTCCTGGATTGTTGGAGAAGCTGGAATTGGTAAGCATTTTTCCCCTCCTAAATAATTTCGATATAAATTATAAATTCAATGAGCAACCTTTTTTCACCATTAGTACTGAATGTGAGATGAAGGTCACAGAAATAATTTACAGTTGAGCTCCTTTTACTTTGCTTCTTTGACGATGTTTGTCAGAAAGCAAAGGTGAAGAGTTAACTCCTGTGAGACTGGAATTTTCCAGCTTGTCAAACAGGCGAATGCTCAAGGAGATAGCTCTATCTTTTGATAGAGTTTTAGGTATACAGACATATAATAGCACGTTAATTTTGGATAATAACATTTGTATTTGGGGACATATTGACATTTGCCTCTCATTTGTTACAGAGTATCCTTCTTGGGATGATTGGTAAAAGTTCACTGAACAAAAATATCTTGTGGGAAAACTGGTGAAAGAAAATGTGACCTGACTAATAAAAATGCTGAATTGTTGAACTTTTTCCAAAGAAAATAATTGTGTTACTTTCAGGTACTAGCAGTCAGAAAACAAAGGCTAATCGAGTATTGCCAGATATGAGCTTAAAGTGAAAAATGAAATGACTAAGATAATATGTATATTACTGTTATTTTTTCTAAATGAAAAATGGATAATAATGACATTATTTTGAGTGATTGTTTAATGTTTTAAATATTACACTCCATTTTAAATATTATTTCTTCTAGCAAATCTTTTTTTGTTGAAACTATATTAGTAAAGTTTTTATGAAAAATACAATTGAATTTTATTAAAGTTCCCCATTTAATGAGATAAAAATTAATGATGTTCTATTCCATATATGGGAAATACATTATGAATTCACTTTCTGGAGAAGACTTAGTCTCAAGAATACGGAAGTTCTATTATGCCTTCAGATAGCACTCCAGAAGGTATCTCAATTCACATTTTGGAAGGTAGTTGGTCATTATTTATTGACTTTGCTCTTCAAAACACATTCAGCATCACCGGAAGACTAACTCAGAAAAGAAAGGGCTAAGCTGTAAATTGAAAAACTGGAGCCAGTTCCCATAGTTTTTCCATGTTTCATGTTTGGCAACTGCTGGGTTCCTGACAGAGGGCTGCTTGCTGGTTTTATGATGCATAGCAAATGAATGCTCACAGCCGCAGGGTCCAAAATAAGTATATGCCGTTCCATGGAAAATCTGCATCTTAATATTGCCAAGGTTTTGCTCCAGGGTTTCATGCAAAATTAGGTTTTTAAGGGTAGTTTAGTAACTTATTGAGATCATCAAGAAACATTACTTTGTTTGGAGGTGTGAGAGTAGCCAAGGGCAAGAGTAATTCTTTTTAATGCAACTTATTTAACATCCATATGTTTGGGCAATAATCTGAACTTTAATCAGATCTTACATTACTCTTCACAGTCAACGCAGTTTTGAGTTTATTGCAAAACCGTAGAGAATGAAGAATCCTATCTTCTGCTAAACAGTTTATTATACTATCAGACATTAATTTTATTTTAATATAGATCTTTATATTGAAGTAGTGAAATTATATATTAGAAGAGACTAAAATTCTACCTAGTAAGTGTTCAATGGGTTTTCCTTTGAATGGAGGTTTGTGTTTTTCTTTTCTTTTTTTAAATTCTCGGAAGATAGACTTTAGTGAGTACTAGAAACTTATTGTCAACCTTACTCAGTTTTACTGGCCTTTACTATGAACCTAAAACTAAATGAGTTAAGTCACCATCTGGGTCCCATTTGAGTTTTCCTTATCGGGAAAGAAAAGAAACAAATACGTCTATTTGTTCTTGCTTTGGGAGTAGATTGAGGAAGAAAACTAAATACGTTTTCAAGCCCAGACCCTGGGAATAGAGCCAGAAGGAATCTGGAGCCAGGAGTAACAGTAGCTACAGCCCTTGGGTAACCATTCTGGGCTATGAGTTTTGGCTGTCTTTTTCCCAAAAGCAAAGGGTGGAATGAGCTGATAATGCTGTCTAGTTGTTCTTCTCTATCTTGGAGACTTTGCTGGGGCAAGATGGTTTCCAATAAATTTAACCATCAAGCAAGGATGTTGGGTGTGAAAAGCCGCTATGACCTGAAGCAAGTCACTTATATTCAGTGTTTCCCTTTCTTTTCTAAATATTAAGGAGCAGGTTAATTCCTACCCAATGAACTCTTTGAAGATAAAGCTAAAGTACCTTTCTGAACAGGCAGACACAAGTTAAATAGGCTGAGGGTAGCTTAGTTGTCTTACTGAGGGATGCATAAGAATTACCTGGGAAGTTAGGTTAGGAAACTGCAGAATCCTGGGATTTACTTTTAAAGATCCAAACTCAGTAGGTCTGAGCATTTTTAATAAGCACCCCAGGCATTTCCTGAAGCAGGTGGTTCAAGAACCACAATTTCAGAAAACAAGGAACTGAATGTGCTCCCAGCTGCCTTCTACCCTGGGATTTTATTTTTGATTATGAGAGAGAAGCAAATCCCTTGCTGTTCAAAAGTATTAAAACTTTGTTCCAAGATTTCAAATGGTTTCAGAAATATATACAATGCAAAAGGATGAATTAAGAATTGTTGAAAAAAATTAGAGTCAAAAGGAAAATAACGGTGAGGAAATAATAAGGTTGGAGTAGGTTTAATGTTACGAGATGCAAATTATATGGTCCTGTAGAGTTTCTGGGGTATGCTAAACATTTTCTATCAAGCCTCTTCAAAACAAAGTCAGGAGCAAAACAAATGCAAAACAAATCACCTTTAGTGGCACAAGGACCTGAAGCCACATAGTGATATAGAGGTGCTGCTCACCACAGTATCCCTGCAACAGATATGAAGAATTTAGTCCAACTATTTTTTACAACCCCTAGCTTTTAAGAGTCTACAGGGTCCAAAGCAATGTGGTCCAAGTTTGCAGCCTCTGCTTAGTTAGCCTCTTCCCACTGCACTTTAACCTGCAAAAAAGCCTAGAGGCTCCTGTTAGAGACAGGGTATGGCCAAGAGCTTCAAAAGAACCACCCTTTAATACCTTGACTCATTCCCACTGCTGCCCTTAACCTCCTTCCACTTTCCCTTCTCTTCGGGCATCGCCAGAGAGATAACAGCCTCTCTTGGCTAACTACCCTTCTAACCATCCTTGGGACAAGACAGACTGCCAACAACAACTATGGAGCATTCACTTTACGTAGCGGAACTTACCAAAAAGCCCAGACCAGAGCATTCTGGATGGAGCCAGAGTGAGTTCAGTGGCTGTGACTCCACAGCCCTCTCCCTGAATTCTGGGTCAGCCTCCATTAGAGAGGGTATTGTAGGGAAGGAAAAATGGTTATCTTCTACCCATCTTAGGTTAATTGGCTGGAGGCCTATAAAATAGACTGACAAAAGTCAGATCAATAAGAGGAAAACAGAATTTGTTAACATGTACATGGTACACACACTTGGGACCACTCAGTGATGAGTGACTTAAAGGGGTGGTTAGAACATGGGCTTACATATCATCTTAACAAAAGAACAATTAAATTGTAGAGAGGTGACAAGACAAAGGAAAAGGACTTTTCGTTCATAGGGTGGTGAATGCTGGCAAGATAAATATATAAGGAAAGGAATGGAAGATAAGAGCTAGTCAGCAAAGCTTCTGGTGTAGATGCCTGTGGTGCCTTTGTCAGGCTGATAAGCATCCAAATTGTCTCTGGTGATCAGAGACACCTGGTAGAGAGGGGAGGGAGGACAAATTTACGTCCTGTTTTTAGGTAAATAGGAAGGGGATCGAGAGCTTTTCTTGTATCTACTTTTTTTCAGTTGTCCAAATAATCCTTATGCCAAAGTGGTATATTGTGATACCCTTCTGTAGCCTCCTGGCTATGTGTTTCTTGAAGCTGAAAGCAGTCACGCCTTCATTGAATTCTGGCCTTTACCACTTTCTCCCTTTCCTTATAATTGTCAACCCTCTGAACCATAAAATCCTTGGGGCACTTTTTCAAATTTCATTTTATTTGTGCCTTGTATTTCTTGCATTACCTGCCACATAGCTGGATATAGAGTAGGCTTTTAAAAAGCAGTAAGTATTATGACTATTGCGGATATGATCAAAAAGCAGTATCACTGAGTGTGTACTGTGTTCCATGTGCTATGCTAGTCACTTTACACATGCATTCTTTCTAATTTCATTGCTATTTCTTAGCTCAGTTATTTATTTATTTAAAGTGACTTATAATAACAGGTAACTTTCCAGAATTCACACCGTCAATAAGTTAATGAAATTTAGTTTCATTCTTTCCACTTTACCCATCTGCCAGGTGAATAATTTGCTATACTGTTTGTAGTTCCCCACCCCTATGTGACCAAATGTATGTAAAAAGATAGCAGCCTGGAAGGGTGAACATTTAATCTCAGTTATCTTGACAGCCTGGAATTGTAGGCCAATTATCATGTTATAGGTGTCTAGAACTTCTCCAAAGATGGAATTCTGTCAGGTGTAATAGTGCAAGCCTGTAGTCCCAGCTACTTGGGAGGCTGAGGTAGGAGGATGACTTGAGGCCAGGAGTTTGAGACCAGCCTGGAAAAAATAGCAAGACTGTCTCTAAAAATAAGAAGAAGAAGAAGAAGATGGGGTGCACATTAAATTTTGACCAGCCCTAGTGGTTTTGTTTTGTACAACTTAGTTCTGCACATTTTAGCTCTTGAGTTTCTTGGAACCAGAGCTACTACAAGCAGAAAACTTCAAAGCTAAGCATTTACTCCATGGTGATTTTCTGGCTAACTTGTTAAACTGAAATGTGGTCCTTTGATGTTTACCCCAGACTTGTTGGTTCTTATGTAAATAATCCAATGAATTCTTCCACTATTTAATCCCTTTATTTTTCCTCTTTCAACTGAGGTCTTGGTGTGATTATCATCGGCTTAGCCGTGACAGTGACTGGTATCACTGGTTTATCCACCTCTGCTATTGCCACAAATGGATGTGTCAGAGGAGGTAATTAAACTTGTGACCCGCACCCTCATTTGTAAGGTAAAGGCAACACAGGGACTAATAGTTCATCACTGACCTTTCTGGAGTGTTTTCAAAGGTAATGCAAGTTGGTTTCTTTTCCCCCATCAGGCAAAGAGATGCAAGAAAAATGGGGAAGGATTTAACCTTTGTCAAACCCCCAACTTTCTCATTCCAGTTCCTTCAAGCAAGAAAGAAGGTCAAATGTCATGTTTTCTCTTTTCACAGCCAGGATAGTTTCTCCCCCAGGACACCAGCATAAGTCAACTTTTCCTTTCCAAGGCTGCACTTTAGATTGTGTTTACTTTTGGGAACCATCCTTCATCATAATGAGCAGTTCTCTGACTTGGTCTTTATGCCAGGCAAACCAGTTTCTCCTTAGCACAAAGAAACCCCGTTGGAGCCCGAAGCATGGACCTGAAAACTTAAATTAAAGGCAGTGTGGTTTGCAGCAATAGGGAATCCAAGGAAGAAAAGTAAAATGCAATATCTTCTATCTTTCATTGCTAACAGGTCTTGGAGTTCTCATAATTCTTCTTTCCACCATGGTAACTTCTATTACTGGGTTGTCAACTTCTGCGATAGCAACTAACGGGTTTGTTCGTGGAGGTAAAATCTCTAAGATATCTAATGCCCTCATCACTTGCTACGGGTAGGCAAACAATTTTTTATACTTCTTTTTGATGGGAACAAGGAAGTAGCCCAATGTTCTTGCCTGGCTATCTGGAGGAGCTGGATGCCAAAGAAAACCTAAGGTACGATGAGAATAGTCCAGGTCTACTCTGGTCTCTTTTCTAATGGATCTCTCTGACACGTTGTAGGTTGTGCTTTTCAGATGTGCACCTTCCTTAGGTAAACTTTTTCTTTTTCAGGCTAGTCTGCACTCCTCTAGCTGATGTTCCTTGGAAAACGATTCCCAGATTTGGCTTCCATTTTAAAGTTTAGTACATTTCAGGTGCTTCCTAGACCTTCATGAAATGGGATCTTTTAGAACATTTCAGGTTTTCACAGGGAGGTGGATCTTTCTGTGACAAGATTCAGACTGCTGCCTCCTGAAGTACTGGTGACTTCTCTCAATACTCGAACCAAACACCTCTCTTGGGGGATTTTACAGGTCTTGGAGTCATCATCATTGGCCTGAGTGTGGTAGTGACGACACTCACAGGTATTTCTATGTCTGCTATTTGCACGAATGGAGTAGTAAGAGGAGGTAAGCCAATTAATTTACTTATGACTAGAGGCTTGGTTACTAGTAATGTCTGGAGTTAGTTTACTATTGGAAGTGAAATTAACATATTGCTAATTAGTCCCCAATATCCTAAAACAAAACAAAATAACCAAAAATTTAAACAGCAAAGCAAAACTTTTCTCAACTAAAATGAGAATATCTTCATTGACACCACCCATTTTTTGTAACGAAACATGTTTATAAAGTGGAGAGTGACTATGTGTCTAGTAAGAAGGTATGGAATATTATAGCAAAATATATGGTTTCTTTGTACCTTGGATGAGACCCACTTGCTCTCTCGCAGGTCCCCTCAGCATGGGTCTTCTTCAGTGCCCCAGTTGGCCCTGCTGATGGTTCTCACTCAGTAAACCACCCCTGCACCCAGGCCTCGGGGCTCACCCCAAACACTGTGCCCTCAATGGCCAACAGGCAAGGGAAGAACATTAAAAGGGGATAAGTAAATACATAAGCAAAGAGTTACTTTCAAATAATCTAGGAGTAGGCAGGCCTAGGCAGAAAGTGAAATGGATGAAATGTATCATTGTTCTTCTGTCTTCCTTTGTTCGCCCCCCCTTTCCCCTTTGGTTCTCTGGTTCTCAACTTGGGTACCTTATCCAGGTCTTCCTACTCAGGGCCTTCTAAAACACCATCCTGCCCACGACACACATCCACTCTCATCTTCTGCCTGTTTCTCATGTTGACCCAGTCCACCTAGGTAACTGGCTAGCTCATTTGTTTCAGGTAATCTGTATAAAGGAAATAATGGGGATTTGCTCCACCCAGACAATATGCGACATTTTTAGAGAGGACTTTGACTCCTGAGCCCAAAAGAGTTACTATAGTGAAACAAATTTCTTCTCAGCAAAAAGTAATTTTGTTTTGTTTTTAGGTGTGTTTGTTTGTCATTCGTGTGCCAACTCTGCCCACCTCCAAGGCCACCTCTATATAGGAAGTCAATCTTACTAAGGTCTGTGATAATCAGACCTCCTAACATTTAGTCCTTTTCACCTTCAATAAGCTGCCATAGGTACCCCTCTAGGCAGTTGAGCAATCGAGTTCAGTGCTTCATGTGCACCGAAGTATGCAACTACATATATTTAATAGAACTACTTTTTCAATGTCCAAGGGAGAAGCAATTGTTCCAGACCCTCCCCACTTTTCTTCCCACTTGCCACTCCCAAACATTGTGCTCTCAGTGGCCAACAGGCAAGGGACCTACTGGCCACACCCATACATATATGGGTATTTAGCAATAATCATGCCTTCTTGAGCTAAAAACATAGAAAACCAAGCTTGATTTATAGAATGAATAATATATCACAATTTATAGATATCTTGTTTTATGCAGCACATATATATCAGAAAATTTTACATATGTACCTATATATGTTTTGTATATATATGTTTATATATATACACATCATGCCTTCTTTCACTAAAAACATAGAAAAGTAAGTTTGATTTATAGAATGGATAATACAGATATCTTGTTTTATGCAGTACATATATATCAGGAAATTGTATATATGTACAAATATCTATATATGTATGTATATATATAGTACATGTATACACAACAGAAAGGAAATTAGAATAACAAAGATAAACTTCACCTACTCCATTTTCTACCTAGACTTTCCTACTGCCGGAAATTTTTTAGATATAATTTTACTTCAGTTGCATTATTAATTTGAATACTCCAATGATATTTTTATAAAGTCAACACATTTCTTGGTAAAGTTTGCTGTGTTCTTATTTGTAGCTTTTTTGCATTTAGGTTTTAATAGATTGGGCTTCATTAAGTCAGGATACCTCTATTGTAGATTAAGTACAGAGTACCAAGAAGGGCTACGTTATTCACTGGGTAACACAGGATTCCTAAAATTATTAGGAAGTTGTAACATTAATATTGAAATAATTCACACTGTAAATGTTCTCAGATAGTCACAATCATTTGGTCATATAAACTAGCAGTTCCTCAATGTAAAGTATGTTCATTTCTTGTTTCAGGTGGGGCCTACTATCTTATTTCCAGAAGTTTAGGGCCCGAGTTCGGTGGGTCAATAGGCCTGATCTTTGCTTTTGCTAATGCAGTGGCTGTTGCTATGTATGTGGTGGGATTTGCCGAGACTGTAGTAGATCTTCTTAAGGTAATTAAAAGCTTTTCTTTTTTTCTGCCAAGCAGCACAATTTAGTTTAGTTTGCCTTCTCAGGGCACTAGGGGATATCATTACAGCTAAATGAGAGAAAAAAAGATAAATATAGTGGAAGGAGCCTGGGCTTGGCCTCAGAAGATCTGGCTTTGAGTCTAGGTTCTCGCATTTACCAGCCAAGAAGGTTTGGATTAGTTCCTCTATTCTTCCAGACTTTGTTTTCCAAGTCTATAACATGGTGTAATAATACTGTTGTATGTATTTCACAGAAGTGTGGCACAGATCAAATGAAATAATGTACATGAAATACTATGTAAAATAGGAAACATCAGATAAATAATGGATATTGCTGTCAACAGTAGTACTATGATTATGGTTATAGATTTCCAAAAGGAAAGAAAGTTGAAAAATTAAAATAACTCACTCCAGAAAACTAGCCATTTCCTAGTTTAGGTGCCCAGTCTAGGATGTTGTATGTGCAAGCACATTCATTAGCTGATATATCAACTAATTTCTAGTCCTTTTCTCATAGTAATGGTAGCATTCAGTGAATTCAATTGGAAAAAGTACCTCTAGTTAAAAATTAGATAAATAAATAAGCTTACAGTTCATAAGGTATATTACCTTCAAGAGATGCATTATCAGGTTTGTATCATCTGTTCTTAAATAGGATGCCACTTAATTTTCAGTATTTACACTGTAAACCATTCATTTTTATTCTGCTAGGATTCCCCTTGACACACAGAAATAACTAGTCATTCTTCTGAAATAAAACACAGTATGTATGTGTATACATATTTTTACTTAGTACTACAACGGCTTCAAAAGCTAGAATGAATTCTAAAATGTCTAACTCCTAACCTTGACTATCAAAGGCCTATTATCACAGAAAAAAAAAGTTAGGTTTTTTTATCTTCATATATTTATGAATACTCCATTTTTCTATTATCCTATATGGCCCCAGGTGTAATTGTATAGTAACTCTTTTTACAGTTAAACATTGCAATAAGACTCACATGCAAAAAGCTGTATCTCTAAGCACTTAAGAATTTGTTTCTCCAGGAGAGTGATTCGATGATGGTGGATCCAACCAATGACATCCGGATTATAGGCTCCATCACAGTGGTGATTCTTCTAGGAATTTCAGTAGCTGGAATGGAATGGGAGGCAAAGGTAAATTTCTCAAAAATGATATTATCAACAGTGGCTGGTCAGGTCCTGAATGGATTGCAGGAGTAGAAGGAACTCCATATTCAGAAAGAATTGCTGTTATTACCTGCTGTGGTGAAATGAGCAGGCAAGTGCTAGGTGGAACATCAAGCCTGCAAACACGAAGCCCAGGCAGTCATGACTCAGGGCTCATGAGTCACGTGACTGCTGTATTTTGTCTCTCTGTGCTGTCACCAAAGCGGCTGCCTTATGCATAGACCCCTTATGATCATAGCAGTAATGCACACTAGAAGCCTGGGTCTTTCAATCACAAACCCTGGTTCCTCTTTCAAGCTGCCTGTGGGTGCACAAGCCCAAGAGAAATGGCAAGTGTGTTGGAAACTTGCCAAAGAAACTTGCAAAAGATAAAGACACTGAAGCACCGAGAGGTTACACAATTTACTGAAGGCCACAGAGATATAAACTGGTTTCAAATTCAGGCACTCTAACTACAGAGCTGGAGCTTTAAATGCTACCCTCTACTGCTACTAAACTTCATTGCCTCACTCAGGGAATAAAGTTAGCTAAAGTAGGGTTCTCCTATGTTTTTTTAATCACAGTGTCCTGTTGATACTGATTTTCATGAATTCCCTTTTTATATTTATTTCTTTATTTGCTTGCTTATTATTGATCTCTTCGTAGACCATACGTAAGGATTAGGCCTGTTTTGGTCACAGGTGAATATCAGTGCCTAGAAGAATGTTCAACATGTGGTAGGCACTTACTGAAGTTTTGTTGAATGTGTGAATGCATAATCTAGAAATAAATGCCATGTAGGAATGTTTTCTATTGACTTATACAGGTGGGAGGCATCTATATAAGAGGCAAAAACTATCATTCTTTTCTGAAACCCAGTACTTCACCAGCAAATTTGGGTACATCATGGGCTTCAGAACCAGAAAATCTCTGAGTTTAACCAGTGATAAAATGGATAGCAAATTTTTGAATGATGGGGAACATTTCTTTTGCCTCCTTTGTAATTCCCTCAAGTGATCGGTGCAATAGAAAGTATTCCTACATGCCTGTGGAGGAAGTAACTGGATCTCAAGCAGTCATGAGACGTAGAAAGACAAACAAAGCCTCCCACCTGTATAAGTCCATAGAAAACACTCCTACATGGCATTTATTTATAGATTATGCATTCACACATTCAACAAAACTTCAGTAAGTGCCTACCACGTGTTGAGCATTCTTCTAGGCACTGATATTCACATGTGACCAAAACAGGCCTAATCCCTACATATGGTCTACGAAGAGATCAATAATAAGCAAGCAAATAAAAAAATAAATTTAAAAAGGGAATTCGTGAAAATTAGTATCAACAGGACACTGTGATTAAAAAAACATAGGAGAGAAAACATAGGAGAACCCTACTTTAGATAACTTTATTCCCTGAGCGAGGCAATGAAGTTTAGTAGCAGTAGAGGGTAGCATTTAAAGCTCTAGCTCTGTAGTTAGAGTGCCTGAATTTGAATCCAGTTTATATCTCTGTGGCCTTCAGTAAATTGTGTAACCTCTCAGTGCTTCAGTGTCTTTATCTTTAAAATGAGGATAATAATATTGCCTACTTCATAATGCTGCCAGTTTGTTAGTGGTATTATTTACCTTAAAAGAACACAGGTAAATTTAAATCTGCATCTGTTCTATTGTAAGCCCTCAGTAAACAGACAGCTGTTACTATTTAAATGGGCTGGGCACGGTGGCTCACACCTGTAATCCCAGCACTTTGGGAGGCTGAGGAGGGCAGATCACAAGGTCAGGAGTTCGAGATCAGCCTGGCCAACATGGTGAAACCCTGTCTCTACTAAAAATACAATATTAGCCAGGTTGGCATATGCCTGTAATCCCAGCTACTCGGGAGGCTGAGGCAGGAGGGTGGCTTGAACCCAGGAGATGGAGGTTGCAGTGAGCCCAGATCACACCATTGCACTCCAGCCTGGGCGACAGAGTGAGACTCCATCTCGGGAAAACAAAACAAAATAAAATAATAAAACACAAAAGATTAAATTGTCAAGAAAGGCCTCTCTGAGGAGGTAACTAAGACTTAAAGGATGGAAAGGAGGAAATAGCTATGCAAGAAGTAGAGTGAAGTGCTTTCCAGGTAAAGGAAACAGCATATGGCAACACCAAGCCATAAACACCTTGCAGCATTGGAGGGGCTGAAGGAAGACCATCTGGCCAGTCAACCTTGCAGACTGCTTGTGCTGAGCACACAGTGGTAGCCTGACGTCAAGTGCACTGGGCATCACAGGAATTCTATTCATCATTCTGCATTCTCGAACTCCTGCAATTAGCACTGGGAACAGAAACAACGGATAAGTGCTCTGCCGAAAACAAACAAACAAAACCCCCTCAAGTCTATCAGTGTTAAAACTTTTGGCTTCATTTACATTCCTGGGACAATGGTGGAAGTTACTCACCTGCTACTTAGAGTGTTACAGAAATGTCACCTTGAAGTGCCCAAACACGTGCTCCATTAAAAATGTGGTGTATGCATCCAAGTAGAATGAGGCCTGTTTACATGCCATTCTAATAAGGATGCACTTATTACCTACTCTGGGTAGCAGAGATTTAACTGAAATAATCAGATGGAGTCTTTCTGCAGTGGACACTTCTAACTTTAACAATTATGTAAAAAGTTGTTAAATAAATCTAATTTGGTTTCCTTTTACCTTGCCATTCCAGGCCCAAGTGATTCTTCTGGTCATTCTTCTCATTGCTATTGCAAACTTCTTCATTGGAACTGTCATTCCATCCAACAATGAGAAAAAGTCCAGAGGTTTCTTTAATTACCAAGGTACATGGAATAAATTGGTTGCTTTTCACTGAATACTTCTCCATTGCCCTCCTCGTCACCATCCCCATCACCCCAACCCCAGCCATCAGAATGCCTGGCTCCCCTTTCAAGTTACCTGTGGATGTGGAAGCCCAAAAGAAATGGGAAGTGCATTGGGGAAGCATAATAGAGGCAAAAACTATCATTCTCTTCTGAAACCCAGTACCTCACCAGCAAATCTGGGCACACCATAGGTTTTAGAACCAGAAAATATATGAGTTTCACTAGTGATAAAATGGATAGTAAATTTCTCCAGGAAAGAGCCTGGTGTTGGATTCAGGAGACCCAAGGTTGGGTCTCAACTCTGCCACTTAACAGCTGGACAGAACACCTAATGTGCCTGGGTCTCAGATTTTCCTGCCAAAACATGGACAATAGTAAGAACTTCCTGAGGGAATTTTGAGAAACAAGTAAGACAGTTTCTCAAAATGTGCTTTGCAATGCAAAAGTGCTTTGTAAACCTTTTGTTGTTGCTGTCAAATAGCAGAAACAGAGACACAGCTCAGTTTGTTCAGCCACTGCAGAGCACTAAAGTCAAACATAGGCATTTCTTTCTCCCTGCTAGACTTGTTTGCACCTTGCTTTCCCATAGCATTACCTAGTGAAGCATCGCTATCAGGCTTTCAGGCAGAAAAGACTGCAGGAGTTACTCAGTGTAGTATCCTGTGATAACATCACAGAGCGTGAAATCTGACTTCTTTCTCTCCTTATTTTACTCCTTCTATCTGTTCTTGCCTTTCTTTTCCCTCTAGCTTGCTCAAGAATCCACTGCTGAGTCTTTAAATGTTTCCCTTCATTATTTACTCAGTGGTCAGTATTTATTTCTTATTGATACCACATATCTCTTTCTTCCTGATTCCTTTTCTTCATAAAGACTTTCTGGTTCACTTTGCATGTTAATATCCTTTTCCTTTCTATTATTTTCCCTCCTTCCCACTCCTACCATATTTTTTTTTTCTTTAAGCCTTTTTTACCTATTTTTCCATCCCAGATTCTTTTGTTCACATTTTTCTTCCTCTTCTTTTCTCTTTTTTCCTCCTGTTTTTCTTCCAGGTTGTTTCCTTTTTATTTGAGTAATTTGGTGACAACCTGTGGGATGGTATTATTCTATTAACAAAGCTCTTCATCATAATATTCTCCCATACTGAGGATTTGGTATAAGCAGCTAAGATCTAATACCTAGGAGTAAAGAGTAAAAAGATTCATACATTAGTAGCAAAATTGTAAAGTAGACTCACCCACAAGGTTCTTCAACTACAAAAAAAAAAGGCATCGAAAACCAGTGTATTGATTGTTTATGGTATTTATGCATGTGAGAATGTAGTTGTGTGTGTGTGTACGTGTGTGGTGGTGCATTTGTGGGTATGCCAGTGTGGTCGTGAGAGAATTCTTCATCTCCTCCTCTTTCAACCTTTTCTAGATGCAAAAAAGTCAGACAGCCTGGATCTCTGTCGGCACAAAAATTGATTTTTCAGAACTATGTCATAGAGATCTAAAAGCTTATGATATATATTTTGACTTTTGGCAAATATTAACATAAAGTTCCTCAGGAGTACACCACATCTTGAAGTTCATTCCACTTAGAATATAGGAATGTGGCCACGTGCAGTGGCTCATGGCTGTAATCCCAGCCCTTTGGGAGACTGAGGCGGGTGGATCCCCTGAGGTCAGGAGTTCGAGACCAGCCTGGCCCACATGGTGAAACCCCGTCTCTACTAAAAATACAAAAAGTTAGCCAGGTGTGTGGCAGGTGCCTGTAATCTCAGCTACTTGGGAGGCTGAGGCAGGAGAATCGCTTGGTAGCTTGAACCTGGGAAGCAGAGGTTACAGTGAGCTGAGATCACACCATTGCACTCCAGCCTGGGCAACAGAGTGAGACTCTGTCTCAAAAAAAAAAAAATTAGAACATAGGAATGTATTTGCATTTAGGGCTAGGGAAGCCAACGGTAACTTAATCTCCTACACTGTGAAAAACGTCTACATGATAACTTTCTTATAATTTATGTTGCAGCATCAATATTTGCAGAAAACTTTGGGCCACGCTTCACAAAGGGTGAAGGCTTCTTCTCTGTCTTTGCCATTTTTTTCCCAGCAGCTACTGGGATTCTCGCTGGTGCCAATATCTCAGGAGATTTGGAGGTACGTTGTTTGCTCTGCTTTGCAGTCCTGGGACGTGGTAGTACAGTTGGTGGGTAGCACAAGGAGCTAGAGAGGTTAAATGTGACCATATCACCCGACATATTCAAACTGTATGTTTCTGTAAGATTTCCTGATGACTTAAAAGTTCTTTCTTTTAATGCCACATTTGGATTTCTATTCCAGATAATTCTTCCAAAAGTCTTATTCGGTGATATCAGAAGAACAGAGTAGTGTGACAGTGTGTCATATTTCCCCAAAATAAATGTAGTTCAGTGAAAAAAAATGCCAGAACCGTCCTTTCTCTTTTAAACCCAAATGAATGAGAATATTTTCCTGTAAAAGTAAAATCAAAACAAAACAAAGGGAAATAATCAAATTTTCACTTAGCTTCCCACTTATTATTCTGTGTGAAGTACTGCAAAGAGCATGGTATGAGTTAGGATATGGTAACGTTATAAAAGACCAGCAACAGGGGCCTAAACAAGATGCAGGTTTTAATGCACAAAGTCTAGCTCAGTTGGGCACAGTGTCATGCACCTGTAGTCCCAGCCACTTGGGAGGCTGAGGTGGGAGGATTGCTTGAACCCAGGAGTTTGAGGCCAGCCTGGGCAATACAGCAAGACCCTGATCTCTTAAAAAAACAAAAATAAATAAAACATATGTATATTTCTTGATTAGTCTTGATATACTCATGAATAAATAAATAAACATTTTATGTTAAATCAAGCCCATAGGCCATCCAGTGGTATAAGAAAGGTCTGCTCCAAAAGGTAGCCCAGGAACCCAGATAACCTCTTTGTTTCACTGTTACTTTGGGGCTTGCCCTCTATCTGCAAGGTCACATTCCAGTCCATGGGAAGGGGGATAAGCATGTAGAGGGCAAGCAATTCCTAGAACTTGCATGTATCACTCCTGCTGACATTCCATTGGCCAGAATTTAGTCTTGTGGCCTCACCTAGTTGCAAAGGAGGGTGGGAAATGTAGTCTCTATCTGGGCAGCCACGTGCCCAGATAAAATTTTAGGGGGTTCTAGTATTAAAAGGAGAAAAGTGAGGATGTATATCAGGGAACAATAAGCTGTTTCTACCACACACACACACACACACACACACACACACACACACACAAAGTAGAAGCCACAGGTTTTACCTCAACAAATTTATGATCAACTTTAGAAGACAAGAAATATTTTCAAGACTCATCAAGAAATATACATACATGAAAACCATAAGCATTGTCCAAGTGGGATGTGAAATAAAAATACTGAAAAAAATAATTGTTAAGTTAATCAGGGATGATTTTCTCAACAAAATAACTTTTGAACCTGAACATAAAGCAAAGGCTGGATGCTGACTATTGATGAAGAAATATAGAGTATTCCAGGCAGAAAGGATAGTCAGGCATGAGGAAACTGGGAACAGTGATAAGTCTCTCACAGTTCAACTGGAGAAACCCTGATGGGGCTCGATCACCTTGAAGGCAAAGGGAAACAGCTATTGGAGGGACTTGAGCCAGAGATGCTTGCCCTAGAACATAACTCCACGAAAGTAGAGACTTTCCCTTTGATTTTGTTCATTGCTTTATCCTCAAAGCTAGCACAGCCTCAATAAATACTAATTGAGTAAATAAAATAAAGGCATTTAGATTTTTTATATTAAGGGCCACAGTGCTATGGTAAGTGCTCAAGCAGAAATATGGCATAAAAATAATATGCTGAAGTGCAGAAAAGTTAAGAAACTTGTTCAAAATGATTCAAGTAGTACTAGTGCTGAATGAAATTTAGCTATGGATGTTGAACTTCTGGTTTGTCAGCTCTGGGAGAGTATCAGAGGTCACTGATTTAAATTTCTGCAAACTATAAACACATCTTTAAAGTAAAGAACATTGTTCTTTGTTTAGACTCCTTAAAAACAAGTTTGTATCAGATGTTTAGTAGTCAGTTCTGCTTAGCTAGCACTCACTGAGTGCCTGTTCACACCAGGCACTGAGGAAGCAAGGAGCTTCACCTGTCCCTCAGGGAGCTCAGAGTCGAAGGGGGAGACAGACTTCCCTTACATGAATTAGAACAAGCAAGAGTAGAATCAAGTGCAAAGGAAAGAGGAAGCAGCAATTGCCTGTCCCCTCAAAAGTAAAGGAAGGCTTTCAGAAGAGGGGACACTCAATCCAGGTTTTGAGGGATGAACAGGAGTTTGCCAACAGGACAAAGAAGAGAGAGACATTTGAAACAGAAGGAATGGGATGTAAAAAGGCACCGAGAAAGATGCTGCTAATGAGAATTATTTTACGTGCAGAGTAGGGTATGTCATCCTTCATTAATATATTAAGAAACATATTTATAAAGAACTTTCTATGTGCCCTAAGTACTCTGGGAGTAAGCAAAGAAAGAGAAGATATTATTTCTGTCTGAAAAGACAAGACTTAAAATTCCTCCCCCTTCAAAATAAGTGTTAACTTGATTTAGGGTTGTTATGTTAGTGAAGAAGTTTTTATTTATTTAGCAGCCTCTACTGAGAAATCTCTGATTCTGAGTTCACATGTAAAGAAACTACAAACAATGGCCTGTTAGGATTTTGGGGGCATACATGGTCATAATATTATTGTAGAATGTTGCATTCTTTTTATTTAAAAATACTTTATGATTTTATAATTAAGCTTAAATTTTAACACACACACTACTATATACTATACACTTTTACTATATACAGAACTCAGGGGTCCTCTTAACTACAGACAGTAGAGTTTGGATATTATCCCCAAACTAGCTGGAGACTCTAAGGAGGTTAGACAAGGGAGTAACATGATCAAATATGTGTTTTAGAGAGAGCCTGCTAACAGCTTGTGGAGGGTGGTTTGGAAGGTGGGGAAAGGGTGTAATAGGCAGGAAGACCTGAGGCAGAAAGATCAATTAGAGACTATCATAATAGTCTGGACAAATGCCAACATGGGCCTTATTTAAGGCCATGCAGAGGAAAAGAACCAAAGATATCAGCTTTTGTTAGAGTTAGGAGAAGAAATAGAAAAAAAAAATGTTTTTTACTATGATCCACTGTAAGAAAACATTATACATCACAACTAAGTGCACACTTAGAAAATTTTCCCCAAATGGTTCTCTACTTTATTACAAGCAATGCCTTCTGATATTCTCACATCAGTTCTATTCTATTGTATTCTTTTAATGCTGGCTGTAACCTGTGGAATTGATTCCACAGTATAGTAGATGAGGAAAGGAAGCTCACATTTGTCTATTGAGGTTGAAATGGCAGAAGGACATGGGGTGGCGATGTCTAGTGAGTGGGTAGCTAGATGTATGAGTCTGGAGCTCTGGAAGGAGCTAGGGCAGGACTGGCAGCCATGGCATGGATGAGTTAATGCAGGTATGTGCAAAAGGGGAGAAAGAAGAGGTTTGAGGCAGCGTTCAGGGAGACACAGACATTAAAGTATTAATGGTAAAAAGCAAGTCCATGAAGAAAAAAGAGACAGAGCTAAGAAGCAGGAGAAATCAAAAGACAGTGGGGTCATGAAAATCAAGAGAGGAGAATTCTTTGAGAAGTAATAACGTGGTCACAAGCCAGAGAGGCCAACCATGTTAAGTTCAGGGAGGTGACAATATGTCAGGAAATGGGGAGGAAACTTCAGTACTTGTAGATATTATTTCTCTTTGAAAGTGAACCTAGAAATAAAACATAATGAATTCAGTTCAATTTAGGAAACATTTACTGTTTACACACTATAGGGTAGGCAGGGTCCTGATCTCTACTCACAGCCTCAGAATCCTCCTCCGGAAGGAAGCTCACAGGCACAAGGGCATGCGACAAATCCAGAACCTTACATTTGCTAATAATGCACTAACAGATGATCTTTAAATATGTACCTGGCAGAAGATTTAGAAAATACCCAAGTCTAATCAAGAAGTGATTTCAGAGAAGCAAAATTAGGATGTGGTTGACACACTGAGAAAGCAGGGATCTAATAGATTGCTTGCATTCTGTCCTAAGGAAAAATAAAATGTCTAATGAAAGAAGGTTAGGTTTTGGGTTACTGCTTGTAGATGGAAACTACATTTCAAGTGAAAAATCAATAATTTGTCAAAGTCCTCCTGAGCCCTATCTAAGGGGAAGCTAGTCAGACCAGACAATGTGAATATCTAATCATACACTAATATACTGGCATTCAGATTTACATGTTAATGTCTTGGGATCATGGGCCTTGGTCTTGGGATCGCCCGCCTTGGTCTCCCAAAATGCTGTGATTATAAGCGTGAGCCACCTTGCCTGGCCAAAAACTAAGTTTTTGTGTTTTAGGTACAAGACTGCCTTCCATCTTCACATCTGTTATCCATATATATATATGTAATATGCATAAATGTTATAATTTTTTTTTTGTTTTTCCCACTGTCAGTTCTTTACATTTTACTCAGATCTCAAGAAATTCTTCATCAATAAAATAAATTTTGGAACATAACATGAATTAGGGGATTCAGTAGGCCCCATCATAGTCATGACTGCCTTCTTTTTCCTTCTGTGCACTGCCCCATTGCATACACCTGCCACACTGATGACAATAGTTTGGAAGGAAGAGACTGGGTATGTACGTGTCAGAACAAACCCTGTGTGCAGATACTCCTAGAAGAGTGCGGAGGAATGAATGATCACAGAGTGGTTCCACAGGGCCGGCTTACTGCCATGTGGGGGAGGTTTGCTTGATTCAGTTGTGACTTTCAGTTGTCAAGCTGAGTCTACATTCACTATGTATAACCTTTTTGACAGACTCGTTCAGCGTATTTTAGTTTTCTTTTTAAAGCACAAACTTCGTTTGACTGCAGTGATTGCTTATTTGTATTGATGGGTCTAATGTGCTCTGGTTGAGGGATTCATACCTGCTGATATTGTGCCTTCCTCAATTCAATATTTATTGACTCCTACTCTGTGCCAGGCCCTGTCCTATAAAAGTGAAGACATTAAAATTTCTATTTAATAATCCCTATTAAGTTGAGTTGAATACAATTCAATATGCTACTTAAAAATTGATTTTATATGATTTATGCCCCCAAATAGTATATAAAGTGGTAAATTAAGTATGATGTGAAATCAACTTAGTGAATGTATATACACTTATAAGCAAGAGAAAAGCCCATTTTCTGGTATAAGCTTGAATTTGCCTCTTTCTTTATGTCTGCTTATGGAAATTAAATATCTCCCATTGCAGATATTTCTGAACTCGATTTCAAATAGGGAATTTAAGGGATTGAAGAATTTAGTAAGTAGATCATCCTTTTCACTCAGTCAAAAGTGATTTTTTTAAAGGCAAGCTTAAGCTCAGTATAAAACAAATACATACAGAGATATTATCAACATACCAGATATGTTTGTATATTTTCCCCTACAAATTCAAGATGTGATACATCTAAATGAAATTCATAGGAGATAAAGAGAAGGATGAGGCCTTGGTGAGTGAACTACCTACTATACTTTTCTATAGAAACTTCCTTCTGGACAGTTAGAGATCGCTTCTGTTCAGCTGAAAGTTTTACAGATTTCTTTATTCACTCTGCACACCTTGTCTTTGTCCAAAATAAAGCTCGAGCTCATCAACTTGCCGTTTGCTTGATCTTTTCTTAGAACTTGCCTCAGGACGGGTAGCCTAAAAATCTGAAAATGCGAAAATAACTCCAAGTGATCTATGGTTCTTATTCTGCTCTGTATTCTTCTACCTCTACATTATTTTTTTTAAAGGATCCCCAAGATGCCATCCCCAGAGGAACCATGCTGGCCATTTTCATCACCACTGTTGCCTACTTAGGGGTTGCAATTTGTGTAGGTAAGTGGTATGTCTCTAGTGTCCGAATGTCAGAATTATGAGGGGTCCAGTTGTTCACATCTAGTGGGCTTTCAATGAAGCATAAATACAAAGCTTTTTAAAAGGCAACCATTTTAATTCCCTTCTTGGTACCTTAATGTTAATGATTTGGATACTTTAGGGATTTGAATGCAACTAAGCTGTAATACAGGCATCTCTGGGTCAGGGTTAGAATAAAGCTAATCAGGTTGTCATTCTACCTGAACACAAAGAGGGTCCCATTTTACTACCCTTGATGATAATCCCACTGCTAAGGAGGCCACCACTTTCAGCACACACTTCCCTTGTTCTAGGAGGCAGGAGAGAAAGAGAATAGAGAAAAGAAGTGAAAAACAAAACCATTCAAACCTAAAAACAGCCTTAGGAAAGTATGAAAGATGTGGAATTTGTGACTGTGTCTCATCCTTGCACTGCTATCCTTAATATGGAAATGTCACCGTCACCAATTGGCAGCATATCAGAACAAGACCCAGCTGCTGGCAGTGTGGGCGGCCAGCCCCTACATTGCTCAGTGAACAGAAAATATGTGTACTCACCTGCTGTTCCTGAGGCTGACTTTCGTTCCACCTGCTGCCTACAGTCACACCTCCTCCTGGTTGGGGGCTGCCTCATACTTTTGCCATAGTAGGAAAGGAAGAGGTTTCTCAACATTTAGAGAAGAAAACTGTCTTCTGTGTACAACAGGGAAAAAAGCTCTAGGCTGGACCACCATGAAGCCAAAGGGTACATCACAGTCCTCTTCTGCTTACTATAAGAGAAATTGAGAAGGTGCATGTACCTACAGTTGGTTTCTGTAGATTAAAAAAAAAAAAATGAACTTAAATCCTTCCCTGTCTCATTGTCTCTAATTTGAGGAAATCTGATAACTTTGTTCAAAGTATTGTTGGGGCTGGGCACAGTAGCTCATGCCTGTAATCCCACTAATTTGGGAGACTGAGGCCAGAGGATTACTTAAGCCCAGGAGTTCAAGACTAGCCTGTGCAACATAGAGAGACCCCATTCCTACAAAAAATAAAAAATTAGCCGGGCGTGGTGGCACACACCTATGATCCCAGCTACTGGGAAGGGTGAGGTGGGAGGACTGCTTAAGCCTGGAAGGTCAAGGGTGCAGTGAGCTGTGATCACACCACTGCACTCCAGCCTGGGCAACAGAGTGAGACCATGTGTCAAAAATCAATAAATAGGTAGATAAATGTATTGTTAGGGCATGTCCAAGAGTAGTTACATGTAAAGAGATTTTTTGTTTCAGTGCTTTAGGAAATCAACACATTTTTAAATGACATTGAAACCACTAAAGTTAAATTTCCCGAGTGGTTTTCTTTTTCACTACAGTTAAAGTGAGAGAATGAGTAAAGTTATAGAACTGATTTCAGACCTTCAAGTTTTGCCCCGGATGGGTGGAAAAATATACATTTCTACACTTGCCCAGCATAGGAGAAGGACAGTCATGGAGTCGATGTCCTGTCATTAGTACAAATAATGACTCATGGCCTGGCTTCATGGGAATTTTGAGAGATCTGTTATGCAGAGGTTAAAATACATGATTCAAAGAGTTCAGTTCAACATAAATGAACAATGCAAACAGGTAAAATATGAAAGAATAGTTTGACTTGGTAATTGACATCCATAATTTCAAGAGTTCAAGTAGAAGCTGGCAGGCTACCTCTCAGGACTACAATAAAAAGGATCCCTCACTGATTATTTTAAATGGCTCTCTCAGATAAAAGAGTCTATGATTGGCCGGGTGCAGTGGCTCACACCTGTAATCCCAGCACTTTGGGAGGCCGAGAAGGGTGGATCATGACGTCAGCTCAAGACCAGCCTGGCCAAGAGGGTGAAACCCCGTCTCTACTAAAAATACAAAAATTAGCCGGGCATGGTGGCAGGCGCCTGTAATCCCAGATACTCGGGAGGCTGAGGCAGAGAATTGCTTGAACCCAGGAGGTGGAGGTTGCAGTGAGCCAAGATCGTGCCACTGCACTCCAGCCTGGGCAACACAGCGAGACTCTGTCTCAAAAACAAAAACAAACAAACAAAAAAGAGTCTATGATTTTTAAGTCTCCCAAATTCAAAGAATGTGGATTCCATGGCTAAGAATCACATTTATTCCTGTCTCTGGGACCTGTCTTAAAGGTATTATTAGCAAGGCATGAGAATCCACCCTGGGTAGAGTTTGAAAACCAAAGCAGTCTTATTGGTTGGTATTTAGTTTGTAAAGTATTTATCCTTCATGTAGTTCAGAAAAATTTATATATACTTCACACATATATTCATATATTTCAAAAATCCTATCAAAAACATGGCAAAGATTAGTTAGAAAAAATCATAAGGGAATGCCAGTGATTAAAATATATATCAGCAGTCTTTTAAATGACCATAATTCTATTTTTAAGAATCTATCCTAGAAGAAAAAGTTTATGCACGAAGATGTTCATCATAGAATGCTATAGTAGAAAATGACAGATACACTCAAATGTATGAAAATAATGGAATAGATCAACTAAGATAGATACTGGATCAATATTATTTGACCATTGCCTAGGAAATCTGAATATTTTATCCTAAAACATTTCCTTTATTGTTTAAACCATTGAAACTGCATATAATGTGGAACTATAACTCTGTTTTATAAATTATGCAAGGAATATCATTAGTTGAAAAGAGGGGCTGCGTTCTCTTAATCGCTATAATAGAATTCCATAATGCCACCCCTTGGCTCTCTTGCAGATGAGGAAATAAATCCTTCTACTTGAAAAACATCCAGTCGTTAGTACTAAGCCAGACATATGTATTGAGTATGTGTTATGTACCAAAGGCTGCCATGCAAGTTTTAAGAGATAAGAAATTAAGACTGAGTGTCAACTCCCAAGTCACTTACCACTCAAATCTAAGTCATACAGGCAATTGAAATGGCAGCCTGGCCGGGCGCGGTGGCTCAAGCCTGTAATCCCAGCACTTTGGGAGGCGGAGACGGGTGGATCACGAGGTCAGGAGATCGAGACCATCCTGACTAACACGGTGAAACCCCGTCTCTACTAAATATTACAAAAAAAAACTAGCCGGGCGAGGTGGCGGGTGCCTGTAGTCCCAGCTACTCGGGAGGCTGAGGCAGGAGAATGGCGTGAACCCGAGAGGCGGAGCTTGCAGTGAGCCGAGATCTGGCCACTGCACTCCAGCCTGGGCGACAGAGCAAGACTCCGTCTCAAAAAAAAAAAAAAAAAAAAAAGAAATGGCAGCCTGTTACAGAAAAGGGGAAATCCCAGGGCTCAGCAGATGGGAGCCTCCAGTTATCAAGAACTACCCACAGTAAACAGAGGCTAAGAAATGGACCTTTTCAGACTCAAGGTAAACTATGTTTTCAGAAGAAAACCCTAGGGGACCAGAACCTTATAAAGAAATAACAAGCCACGGTTGCTTCCACAGGGGCCTGTGTGGTCCGAGATGCCACCGGGAACATGAACGACACCATCATTTCTGGGATGAACTGCAATGGTTCAGCAGCATGTGGGTTGGGCTACGACTTCTCAAGATGTCGACATGAACCATGTCAGTACGGACTGATGAACAATTTCCAGGTTTGAAGCAAAATTTAAAAATGTTCATTGCCATTATTTTCATTTTTTGAATGTCACATAGAGTAAGATTTCTGAATCTGCAACTGATTGATGACTGGCTGATAAGAATCCAGCATGGAATGATTCATGTGGGAGGAAAAGGAGGCATACAGGCATTACATGGTAGCAAATCCTATGTTACATTTCCTGTGGTCAGAGACAACAGGCAGTCGTATGAATTGCATCACCAGGGACAGATCATCTCCTGGCACTATGTGTCTTCCAATCAGTTGTGCAAGATTTCATGGTGGAAAGGAACTTAGGTTAGTTAGCACTTGTTATGTATTTCTTTCTTTTATAATTTGAGTTTTTATTTTAGATTCGGGGAGTATCCTATATGTGCAGGTGTGTTACATGAATGTATTGTGTGATGCTGAGATTTGGGGGTATTACAACAAGTAGCCTCTGTTCACTGTGAGTAGTTCACCCAGGTACTAAGCATAGTACTCAACAGCTAGTTTTCAACTCTTGCCATCCTCTGTCCCCCCTCTAGTAGTCCCCAGTGTCCCTTGTTGCCACTTTATGTTCATGAGTACTCAATGTTTAGCTCTCACTTATAAGTGAGAATATGTTGTATTTGGTTTTCTGTTCCTGTGTTAATTTGCTTAGAATAATGGCCTCTAGCTGCATCCATGTTACTGTGAAGGACATGATTTTATTCTTTTCATGGCTGTGTAGTGTTGCATGGTGTATGTGTACCACATTTTCTTTATCCAGTCCACCATTGATGGGCATCTAGGTTGATTCCATGTCTTTGCTATTATGAATTGTGCTGCACTAGACATACAAGTGCCTGTATCTTTTTGGTTGAATGATTTATTTTCTTTTGGATATATACCCAGTAAAGAGATTACTGGGTCAAATGATAGTTCTGTTTTAAGTTCATTGAGAAATCATGGAATGCATTTCATACACGGCCTTCAGCTTAGACAAAGCCTTTGAGGTGGCCCTGGAGAGCCTGGAAGACAAGGCTAAGAGAGAAATTGTGAGTGCCAGAAGAAGGTAAATAAGGGGGAAGTAACAATGGAAGTTAGGAAAGCTATAGGACTTTAAACCTATTAATTTGTCTGCATGATTGGTGAGCAGAGGGAGAAGTAAATTTGTCGTGAAAGCTTCACTCTCCTGTTTTAACAACCCACAAAGAGAAATTAACTCAACTGAAGTCATTATTCCAAAATATGACTTAAATTGATAGAATCACATCATGTCTCAGATCTAAAATTATGTTTAATGAGCACAGAAATAGCAAAGGTCTGAAAAGCCTCTGTGTGCAGGAAGAAGAAAGGTTAACGGCTGCAAAAAGACTAGTAAACAGCTGAGCCCCTCCCCAAACCGTATTAAAATACTGCTTTCTGCTGGATAGAATTCCCCATCATCAAAGAAACATATGGCCACAAAGAACAGAGGGGAAAATGTCAAAATCCTTGAAATAATTTCCTTCTTTATTTTTTCCAATATCTTCTGGATATATTGTGGTGAGCATTTATTATCTTATAAATAACCAAAAAGGCCATTTCTATTTTTAAAAAATAAAATTAAGAACGTGAGAATGGGCCAGGTACAGTGGCTCATGCCTACAATCCCAGCCCTTTGGGAGGCTGAGGCGGGCAGATCACTTGAGGTCAGGAGTTCAAGACCAGCCTCGCCAAAATGGTGAAATCCCATGTCTACTAGAAATACAAAATTTAGCTGGGCGTGGTGGCAGGTGCCTGTAATCCCAGCTACTCGGAAGTCTGAGGTACAAGAATCGCTTGAACCCAGGAGGCAGAGGTTGCAATGAGCCAAGATCGTGCCAATGCACTCCAGCCTGGGCGATAGAGCGAGACTCCGTTTCAAACAAACAAACAAGAATGTGAAAGCGAGAAAGAAGCAGGGGGAAAACATCTAGTTGAAAGCAATTTGCTTATGAAACAGATCCCAAATCACAGGAAGTCTCCTTACTTGTACCTCTCTTCTCAAGGTCATGAGCATGGTATCAGGGTTTGGCCCCCTCATCACTGCGGGAATCTTTTCTGCAACGCTCTCCTCCGCCCTGGCCTCCCTTGTCAGCGCACCCAAAGTGTTCCAGGTAATACAAGCACAACAGCTTGTGCTTCTCCCTATTGCTGTTTCCACAGAATGTGAAGCAAGCTGAAATATTCATTCTCACTGGCAATCATTTTCCATCATTTTCTGAAACAGTTAATGTTTGCATCTGGCTCAAGTGCTATGTCTGCCATATAGTCAAGATCGATTCAAATAATATAAGAATGATAAAGTGCAGTGTTAACTTGTGCCTCATCTTGTGTATCACTTAATCTTTCCCCAAATCTTCCCGTTTGAATCTCCTGGAGAAAATGACTGTGCATAGCTATAAATGACAAATGTCTTCTCTTCTTTTCCATTAGGCTCTGTGCAAGGACAACATCTACAAAGCCCTGCAGTTTTTTGCAAAGGGATACGGGAAAAACAACGAACCCCTGAGAGGATATATTCTCACTTTTCTTATAGCCATGGCATTTATTCTTATTGGTTTGTAAAGTTTTCTTGTTTTGATTGAAAGCCAAAGAATTCTTCTGATTATTCACAGGGCTTTCCTTTTAGTTTGAAAAATTACCCGTTTCATGTTTAGGATCCCATTTGGGAATATTGGCATCTAAGAAGGAAATGAGAAATCTTTGTGTGTAGAGGACCTTTGAGGAACTTGAGGCAGACTTTGAATTTCAATCTATTCTTTGAATCCGAGTGTTCGAAATCCATCCAACCAAAGGCAGCTGAATCCTTCCTCCCATCTGCCTGAAACTGTCTAAATCTAGAGTCTCCCCCAGCTGCCATAACTACTGACCCGATGGCTAGCAGAATTGAATTGCCTGTTAGTGTTTCTGGGAATGTGGTCCACTGAGCATCTATATCGCAATCACCTGGGGTGTTTGGGCGAGTGCGGAGACTTCAGGCCCAATTCCAGAGTAACGGAGTCAGACTTTCTGAGGGTAAGGAGTCTACATTTCACAAGTCTACATTTCAAGTGGACCACTGGTATTTGAGAACCACTTACCTAGACTATAATTTTGGCTTCCTCTCCCCAGGTGATATAGAAACAGCTACATAATCTTGGAGAGGCATATTCATCAACTTAAACTTGCGCATGTCTCACTCCTCCCTAAGGCCTCACCTTTGCTGATGAGCATATCAGAGGAAAAGAAGCAGAAGGCAGAGGACTTTGGGAGCCACACACAGGCGGGCAGAGACTTCTTCAGCACAGCAGTGCCAAGCAATGAGGGCTCCTTGTCATTACATGTTGAACTCAGGAAGGGACTATAATTCACGAATCTTCATAGCATTTGTATGAGGCTGAAGAAGGGAATTTGTAACTCTCTGTGTTTGTTAGATTTTTTAAAATTAACTTAAAAGTGATTTCATATAGAGATGTTTCAATTATGTAATTTAGACTTTAAGATCTCAAATCATTGCCTCGTCCTGCATTTAAGTGAGTAAGCAACCAAAGTTTTAGAAGTCTTGTATACATTAGATAATATCATTTAAAATCATTCTTTCAGAACAAGTGGATTGGCTCCACGCATAAGCATCATGGCAGCTGTTTTGCCTACTTTCTTGTTGGTATCCATGTTCCAGAATCACACCCAGCTGCCTGCATTTGCATCATTGCATCACTGCATTATTTGCATCATTGAGGGTGATAGGCGTCTGACCTTCAGATAAAGGATGACGTCTCTATATTTTTTCTTATATTGCCCAGTAAAATATCCAGCTGGAATTAAATCATACCACATATTTACTCCTGAGGCAAAAGTATTTTTGGACCAGGCACAGTGGCTCACGCCTGTTCATCCTGGCACTTTGGGAGGCTGAGGTGGGCGGGTCACTAGAGGTCAGGAGTTCAAGACCAGCCCAGCCTACAAGGTGAAACTTTGTCTCTACTAAAAACACAAAAATTACCTGGGCATGGTGGCAGGCGCCTGTAGTCCCAGCTACTAGGGAGGCTGAGGCAGGAGAGTCACTTGAACCCGGGAGGCAGAGGTTGCAGTGAGCCGAGATGGTGCCATTGCACTCCAGGCTAGGCGACAAGAACTAGACTGTATCGCAAAATAATAATAATAATAATAATATATTTGGCTAGCCTTGAGAGGCAGAACTCTCTAGAGATGTGGAAAAGCTATGAATGACAAAGAGTCCTGAAAATCAGAGAACACATATTGGGTCTATGCAGGGAGATTTCCACTGGGGAGTTTTTGGTGCACTGGTATTTAACTAATATCCTGCAAAGCCTATTTATTGCATACATAACAGTTAAAGAACACAGGATTAGATGCCTCCAGAAAAGCTGCAGGGGAGTTAATTGTATGCCCAGTCCCACACCTACCCATTGCCACTTAAACATTTTGTAGGTAGGGGTCTCAATTGTCTACTTTCTGATTGGTAGACTTTTTTATTTCTTACTTTATAGAAACCCTAGCTAAGAGTAAATATGTATCCCCCAAAGAAAAATGACTAACTTCTTAAACTTTGACAGATGCTCGCTATGTTTTCAATTTCCAAATAAAGTCAAGCTTCCAGGCTGTAACAGCTGTTCAGCCCCTGGTCTCATCACTCATACGTACATGTTCAATTCTGTTACTTTTACAGCGGAACTGAACACCATTGCTCCCATCATCTCCAACTTTTTCCTGGCCTCATATGCACTTATCAATTTCTCCTGCTTCCATGCCTCTTATGCCAAATCTCCAGGTAAGCTGACTTCCAAAACTAAAATATGCCTAAGCAAACAGTTAGTTTGTCTCAATAAAACGAAATAAGTCAGTGAAAAGTGTTCAATCTGTGTTTATATGTTTCCTTATATCCTAGTGGGAAGCGTAATCTACTTTATTTTGGTGAGTTTGGGGATGAGTTTTGAAATAGAAAAAGAATCATTTGAGCAATGGCCTTTTTGACCAACCGTAAAGTCAATTTTCTCCCGTGGCAATAAATTATTCATTGCAAGAGAAACTACATTTATTTCAGCAGTAGAAAAACACCACTATTTATTTCCAGGGTGAAAGTGACCACAGAAGTGGAATTAATGTATATATTTGAAACTTCCTTACTATCAATTTGTTTCCTGCCCATGGTGCAGAAGAGAAGGATGAGTAGTTCCCATAATTACCTGCTGAGTGGAGGCAATGCAGACAGGCTGCATTGATGCTGGTGGCATCAGTGCACCCTTTGGGCTGTGGTTTAAAGTTGTTCAAAATTTCACACCAAAGAGACTTCCCCTTTCTAGTCACTCCTCACCTCTTCTTTGCTTTCATTGTCCACTCCAGTTTCTTCTGCCTTTCTACCAGAATAGAGACTTGTCATTACCTACCTTCAGAAAGATCTCCACCTTGAGAACTTTTACCGGATATATAAACACATTTCCACTCATTTAAGGCCTGACAAGATATTAAGCCTCCTTTGGAAAACTTGCTGCCAATAAGACAAAATATAGATGGAAGACCAACCTTAATCTAATGAATACTAGGCTACAGAAAGTAGCAGAGGACTTTCTGTTTCTTTGTGTGTTTTGTTAACACAGAAATGTGTGACTCCATGCCACGTTATGGCCACTTTTGACAAATAAGGTGAAATAGTAGACAGCCAGGGAAAAGAGTGCAAAGGAGAATGGGAAAGAGGGGGAGAGAGAGAGGAAAATATAGAAAAGCATATAGAGGGAGGCATATGGATACACAAACCCAGAAAATGTCTGTCTGTCTCTCTCTCTCTCTCTCTGTCTCACACACACACACACACACACACACACACACACACACAGAGGGACGGGAAGCCAGACTCAGAGAAAAAAAGGCTATTTTCAATGATGTTCTTGTAGTGCTATGTCCATCTTGTGGCCATTTAGGAAATTGCTCCCAAACACGTAAAGTTCTGTTGTGTTTTGGCAACTCCTATATTAAAACGTACCCCATTCATTAACAAAAGGTGCCCTTCAAATCAGAGCTTTTCCCTTCCTGTCCATACTGTCTTCCAGTTGCTTCCATTTCAGGAAACTAAGAGAACACAGAAAACCCCCACGCATGTGCACACTGTGAGAAATATTTTCATTGCAAAATGCATGACATATTAACACATTGGTTTTCAGAAGCCTTTGCTAGCCATTGAGTTTAAAAAGCCATTTCTCCTGCTTTATTCATCAATTATTATTTCTGAAAAGGCAAGCACTGTCCTCTTAGGGTAATGGAAGAGCTACCAGGAAGTGAAGCAGATTGACTCTTGATGATTACTCCGCCTTCTCCATGGGAGCAAAAAACCCATTTTCTTCACTTTTTCTTTCTCAGACAATCAAGAAGTTTCTCCTCCCCACCTGGTAGACCCCACTCTTTCCATTCCTCCTGCCTCTTTTCAGCTCCTGATGGCATAAATACCAGATGCTTAAGGTTTGGAAGTTTGGGAAAACGGTCAGGAGCATGGAGTATGGAGGGTCCTGAATGGCACATTTTTCAGATGCTTAACATTTCCTAAACTTTACAGCACTCTGTTTGGTGTAAGTACCATCTTCATAGACCAGGGACCCAAGATCATAGGAAAATAAGCACAGAGCCTGGAAACTGACCTAAAAGTTCTGATTCTTTATGTCACGAAAAAGGCACGTTACCTGCATTCTTATAATAGTCGGTGGCATGATCGTAGTAGAGTGGAAGTTTTCCTTCTGCATATTTTATTTTCAGGATGGAGACCTGCATATGGAATTTACAACATGTGGGTATCTCTTTTTGGAGCTGTTTTGTGCTGTGCAGTCATGTTTGTCATCAACTGGTGGGCAGCTGTCATCACCTATGTCATTGAATTCTTCCTCTATGTCTATGTGACTTATAAGAAGCCAGGTAAGATAATAAGGACTGTATGGAATAGGGTTTCCAAATCACTCTCTAACTGCTCATTTATTAAGCATTTTTATGTGCTTAGGTGAGGCATATGTAAGGAGGATATTAATAATATCATGGAATATAATAGTAACAATAGTTGGGGCTGGACACAGTGGCTCACGCCTGTGCTCCCAGCACTTTAGGAGGCTGAGGAGGGTGGATCATGAGGTCAGGAGTTCAAGACCATCCTGGTCAACATGGTGAAACCCCGTCTCTACTAAAAATACAAAAATTAGCCAGGCGTGGTGGCAGGCCCCTGTAATCCCAGCTACTCAGGAGGCTGAGGCAGGAGAATCGCTTAAAACGGGAAGGCGGAGGTTGCAGTGAGTTGAGATCGCGCCACTGCACTCCAGCCTGGGCAACAAGAGCGAAACTCCATCTCAAATAATAATAATAATAATAATAGCAATAGTTAACCTCGTTGAGCACCTGTTATATACCATGCGCTCATTCAATCCTCACAATACTATTAGTGCCATTTTACAGATGAAGAAACTGGGGTTCAAAGAGTTGACTACTTACCAAAGTAATAATCAGGATGTGATGGATCTGACCGTATAACCAGAACATGTATGATACCAAACCAACCCGACAAGCTTTCCATTACTTCACTTTCTGTTTCTGATGTCCTGATAAATTAGATATAGTCCCTGTGCGCAAGGAGTTCACAGAGTCACACTTAAGGAATTAATTATGATACAAAATAGTAACCACTATAAGAGTAATATGAGCAAATTGCTGAGAAAAGGGGAGGGAAGGATTAACTTTGGAGTTATCCAGGAAAACTTTCTGGTTCCTAACTTATGTTCACAGAGTCAAACACTCAGTGGACATTTAACGAATATTTTTTAAATGAATAAATAAATTAGTTTTTTTTAAAAAAAAAAAAAAAAAAGCAAGCAACTGGGGTTTGGTTAATCAGAGTCAGGGAATGGTATTCTGGGCAGAAGGTGAAGCATGAATGACATTAAGGACACATACAAGTGCGGGGCGGCGTATCAAGGCCTTTAACATACAGAAGGTTCCTGAGTGATGGGGAGAAGGATCACAGAGGGAGCCTGGAAGAGTGGTGGGGGCCAGATAAATAAGAAACTTAAAGGTCATGCCAAAGAATCTGATGCTGTGAGCAACAGGAAGATGGCACAGGCTAATCAATTGAAGAAGCAATTGGATCTGAACTTTGGGTGTTGACTTTAGTACCAGGGATATTAAATCTAGGAGGGGCTGCAGACAGTGCAGTGCAGGGAAACCCAGAGCCACCCTCACATTCTCCTTTCCTTTACTCTGCCAGTAAAGCAGAGCTTGTAGTAACTACCTTGGAGGGATCTGTTTAGCTTTTATTTATTTATTTACATATTGTTAACACCATGTATAACTTACATATGGAAAAATTCATCCCTTTTAAATGGGCTGTCTGTATGTTTTGACAAACTTGTACAGTGTTGTAACCATCATCAAGATACAGGATATTTCCATCATCCTCACAAGTTCCCTTATACCCCTGTGTAGTCAATCTCCACCCTCCAACTTAGCCTCAGGCAGCTGCTTTTCTGATGTCTGATCCTGTAGCTTTGCCTTTTCCAAAATACCATATAAATAGAAACATACAAGATATAGCCTTTGAGAAGACTTCCTTTCACTTAGCAGAATGCTTTTAGATTTATCCATGCTGTTGCATATGTAAGTGGTTTATTCTTTGGTGTCGCTGGGTAGTATTCTATTGTATGAATACATCACATATATTCTTAAATTCTATTCACCAGTTGATGGTCATCTGAGTTGTTTTCATTTTAGGTCTACAGGACTTTATGTGGACTTATGTTTTCATATTTCCCTTGGGTAAATATCTGGGATTTATGATTAAATAGTAAGTGTATATATAACTCTATAAGAAACTGCCAAACTGTTTTCTGTGGTAGCAGTATTATTTTCCATTCCTACCAGCCATGAATGAGAGTCCTAGATGCTCCACATGTTTGTCAGCATGTATTATTGCCAGTTGATTTTTTAAAAGCCATTCTAATATATGTGTAGTGCCACCTCATTGTGGTTTAATTTGCATTTTCCCGATGATTAACGATGTTGAACATCTTATTTGCCATCCATATATCTTTTTTAGTCAAGTGTCTGTTTAAATCTTTTGCTCATGTTTTAGTTGCTTTCTTATTATTCAGTAATGAGAGTTCTTTATTCTGGACGCAAATCCTTTAGTAGCATGTGTTTTGCAAATATTTTCTCTGGATCTGTGGTTTCTCTATTTTCCTTACGATTTGTTTTGAAGAATAAAACTTCTGAGTTTTTGTGAAGTCTAATTTATCTTTTTTGTTTTAATGGCTTACCATGTTGCATCTGATCTAAGATATCTTTTCCTAATCCAAAGTCACAAACTTCTAGAAGTTTTAATGCTTTGGAAATTATATTTAGGTCTATTATCCATTTTGAGTTAATTTTTGTATATTATGTGAGGTATTGTTCGAGGTTCACTTTTTACATATAAACGTCCGATTGACTAGTAGAGTTTTTATCCCTATTTAAAATAAATGGCCTAAGGTATGTTTAATGCCTGATGCACCATCAACACTTAATCAATATTGATCTTCTTTATCTCCAGATAATGATCATTCACCCATTTCCCTGGATCTCCAGGAGAATAGGTTTTGTCTGTCATCTGGGGTGTATCTGTACATTCTTGCCAGGGACTTCCTCTCATAAACCTTGGAAGATCCATTTAATACTTAAATTTGTAAAAAAAAAAAAAAAAAAAGAAAAAAAAAAAAAAAAGAAAGAAAAAAAAAAAGAAAGAAAGAAAGAAAAAAAGAAAGAAAGAAAGAAAGAAAGAAAGAGAAAAAAGGCCAGGCACGGTGGCTCATGCACACTTTGGGAAGCCAAGGCAGGTGGATCACGAGGTCAGGAGGTCGAGACCATCCTGGCTAACACGGTGAAACCCCATCTCTACTAAAAACACACAAAAAAAACATTAGCTGGTCATGGTGGCGGGCGCCTGTAGTCCCAGCTACTTGGGAGGCTGAGGCAGGAGAATGGCGTGAACCCAGGAGGCAGAGCTTGGAGTGAGCCGAGATGGTGCCACTACGCTCCAGCCTGGGCGAGAGTGAGACTCCGTCTCAAAGAAAAAAGGAGGGGGGTTGGGAGGGAGGGATGGTAGAGCTGATCTCCCTTATGATGAAGATTAAGGATTAGCTTCTCAAAGATCAAACTAAAATGTTTGCTAAAGAACCTTGACCTTCTTCATAGAATTCTAGAAGAATTCCCGTGCTATTCAGTTTTACTGTTCAAAATATAAAGATTACTGCACACTTTCTGTGTATACAGAAATGCTGCTTCTCTTTTCAATTTAAGAATTTGGGCCAGGCGCGGTGGCTCACGCCTGTAATCCCAACACTTTGAGAGGCGGAGATGGGTGGATCACAAAGTCAGGAGTTTGAGACCAGTCTGGCCAATATGATGAAACCTCGTCTCTACTAAAAATACAAAAATTATCCAGGCATGGTGGCAGGTGCCTGCAGTCCCAGCTACTCAGGAGGCTGAGGCAGGAAAATCTCTCGAACCTGGGGGGCGGAGGTTACCGCAAGCCAAGATCGCACCACTGCACTCCAGCCTGGTGACAGAGCGAAACTCCATCTCAAAAAAAAAAAAAAATGTGTGAAGACACTTTGATTTTATTCAGGGATTGACCAGTTTCCCAAGTCTATCTGCCTGCCACGTGGTTATCGCACAGCCTCTCCCACCAAGCAAGATTTCTAGGACTGCAGTTGTACAGTCTGATCCTTTGCTGGAATGAAGCCTTTGCTTCTGAAGATTCACATAGTATTCATAGAAGGATACAAAGTGCTTTTTAGGAAATCCCACACTATATTTTCTCTAATTTGGGCACTCATCCTTGCTGGCATAGCCAAGGAAAATCATAGAAAGGAATGACTTGTAAGAATTATTCATGGTACACAGAGGAAAGGTCAGTGCTTCTTATGCCAATTTCCTCCTTTATCCACAGATGTGAACTGGGGCTCCTCCACACAGGCTCTTTCCTATGTGAGTGCTTTAGACAACGCTCTGGAATTAACCACAGTGGAAGACCATGTAAAAAACTTCAGGTAAAGCTGGTGTCTCAGGCATCCTGGTGTTGTTCCACCTTAGAAGTGGCTCTCCTTTATGAGAGACAAGGGCATTCAAGTAGTTATAAGCTTTAGGGGTACATTCTAAAAATAAGCAGTCATACAAAACTGCTACATTTTCATGACAGCACCTCCTGTAAGTGAGTGCTTCTTTCCTTCCACACCCTATTCTGCCCACCCCAAACTACAGCCCCTCATAGTGCCAGGTGTCACCTTCCATGCGTGGAGATAGCAAGGTGGACTAAGTAATGTGACTTCAGAGAGATGATCCTAAATCCCCACACACATTATTCTGCTATTGTTTCCATTCCACTTAAGGCTTTAGGGCTCACTGAATTCTCTTAAAAGTAACGCTTTTTGCTTTTCATTAGTTGTACCTTATTTTGAATGAAATCTGAAACACAAGCTTGTATGAAGAATGAAAGAAAGTAACATAAAAATCTTGCTTGGAGAGGAACAGATTGCCTTGGGATATGGGGTAGGTGGCTAGAGGAAAAAGGAGAGGGGGACTGTATTAGTCCATTTTCATACTGCTATGAAGAGATACCCAAGACTGGGTAATTTATAATTTTAAAAAAAGAGGTTTAATGGACTCACAGTTCCACATGGCTGGGGAGGCCTCACAATCTTGGCAGAAGGCAAAGGGGGAGCAAAGGCACGTCTTACATGGCAGCAGGCAAGGGAGTGTGTGCAGGGGAACTGCCCTTTATAAAACCATCAGTTCTTGGGAGACTTATTCACTGTCAGGAGAACAGCACAGGAAAACCCACCCCCATGATTCAATTACCTCGCATTGGGTCCCTCCCACAACACATGGGGATTATGGGAACTATAATTCAAGATGAGATTTAGGTGGGGACACAGCCCAAACCATGTCATTCCATCCCGGGCCCCTCCCAAATTTCATGTCCTCACATTTCAAAATTAATCATGCCTTCCCAACAGTCCCCCAAAGTCTTAACTCATTTCATCATTAACTCAGAAGTCCACAGTACAAAGTCTCCTCTGAGACAAAGCATGTCCCTTCTGCCTATGAGCCTATAACATCAAAAGCAAGTTAGTTACTTCCTAGATAAAATGGGAATACAGGCATTTGGTAAATACATCTGTTCCAAATGGGAGAAATTGGCTAAAACAAACAGGCCCCATGCAAGTCCGAAATCCGGTGGGGCAGTAAAATCTTAAAGCTCCAAAATGATCTCCTTTGACTCCTTGTCTCATATCCACGTCATATTGATGCAAGGTGGGTTCCCATGGTGTTGGGCAGCTCTGCCCCTGTGGCTTTGCAGGGAACAGCCTCCCTCCTGGCTGCTTTCACTGGCTGGTGTTGAGTGTCTGCAGCTTTTCCAGGTGCACAGTGCAAACTGTCGGTGGATCTACCATTCTGGGGTCTAGAGGACTGTGGCCTCTTCTCATAGCTCTACTAGGCAGTGCCCCAGTGGGGAGTCTGTCTGGGAGCTCCAACCCCACATTTCCCTTCTGCACTACCCTAGCAGAGGTTCTCCATGAGTGCTCTGCCCCCGCAGCACACATCTGCCTAGATATCCAGGCATCTCCATACATCCTCTGACATCTAGGTGGAGGTTCTCAAACCTCAATTCTTGTCTTCTATGCACCCACAGGACTAACACCACATGAAAGCTGCCAAGGCTTGGGACTTGCACCCTCTGAAGCCACCACCCAAGCTATACCTTGGCCCCTTTTATCCATGACTGGAGCAGCTAGGACACAGGGCACCAAGTCCCTAGGCTGCGCACAGCAGGGGGGCCCTGGACCATGCCCAGGAAACCCTATTTCCCTCCTGGGCCTCCAGGCCTGCGATGCGAGGGGCTGCTGTGAAGTTCTCTGACATGCCCTGGAAATATTTTCCCCATTGTCTTGGTGATTAGCATTTGCCTCCTTTTTACTTATGCAAATTTCTACAGCCAGCTTGAATTTCTCCCCAGAAAATGATTTTTTCTTTTCTACTGCAAATTTTTCCAACTTTTTTGCTCTGCTTCCCTTGAACACTTTGCTTCTTAGAAATTTCTTCTGCCAGATACCTAAATCATCTCTCTCAAGTTCAAAGTTTCACAGATTTCTAGGGCAGAGGCAACATGCTGCCAGTATCTTTGCACAGCAAGAGTGACCTTTACTCCAGGTCCCAAGGAGTTCCTCATCTCCATCTGAGACCACCTCAGCCTGGACTTTGTTGTCCATATCACTATCAGCATTTTGGTCAAAGCCATTGAATAAGTCTCTATGAAGTTCCAAACTTTTACACATCTTCCTTTCTTCTGAGCCCTCCAAGTCCCTAGGAAGTTCCAAACTTTTCCACATTTTTCTATCTTCTTCTGAGCCCTCCAAACTGTTCCAATCTCTGCCTGTTAGACCTGGTTCCAAAGTTACTTCCACATTTTTGGGTACCTTTACAGCAACACCCCACTCTACAGGTACCAATTTTAGTCCATTTTCATGCTGCTATGAAGAAATACCCAAGACTGGGTAATTTTTCAAGAAAAAGAGATTCGATGGACTCATAGTTCCACATGGCTGAGGAGGCCTCACAATTATGGCGGAGAGTGAAGGAGGAGCAAAGTCACATCTTACACGGTGGCAGGCAAGAGAGTGTACGCAGGGGAACTGCCCTTTATAAAACCATCAGGTCTCTTCAGACTTACTCACTATCATGAGAACAGCATAGGAAAATCTATCCCCATGATTCAGTTACTTGCCACTGGGTCCCTCTCACAATACATGGGGATTATGGAAGCTACAATTCAAGATGAGATTTGGGTGGGAACACAGACAAACCATATCAGGGACCACAAGACTACTTTTTCCTTACTTCACACTTTTGCTATGACTAACTGAACTGAGAACACAAACATGTCAAGATGGACAGGCAGGATGATTCAAGAATTCTGGTGCAAAACCCATACAATAGGGGAGAGGTTGTCCCATTTGTCCAAGCCTCTGTACCTGTCATCCCACTGGAATGGTTCTAAGGTTACAGATTTCTCACATCTTTTTTTCACTTCCAGGCCCCAATGCATTGTCTTAACAGGGGGACCCATGACAAGACCTGCTCTCCTGGACATAACTCACGCCTTTACCAAGAACAGTGGCCTTTGCATCTGCTGTGAAGTCTTTGTGGTAAGAGCCACTTCACCCCAGGGAAGTGCTTTTTCCTCCCTGCTTGCCTTGGATTATTTTGGGTGAAGAGAAAAGGTACATGCAGTGATAGGAAAATGGCAAAAAAACGGTTTATAGGAGAGCCCTCTACCTTGATTCATAGAGCAAGGACGAGCAAGAGCCCGTGATCCTGAATTTAAACAGGTAGATGTAAAGTGTTTCAGATTTCATAAGAGACCAACTAAAAGTGACAAATATTTCCAAGTGATGGCCTTTGAGTCAAGAAAAAGATAGTTGGCTCAGAAATAAAGTGAAGGCATTTGGGGTGATAACTATCTACAGAAATAAAAAGATGGAATGAGCCAGATAGAGCACTATTACAGAGATTAACTGATGAGGAAAGAACCAGACATAATGGCCTTAAATGACAGCACATGGAATTTAGATTAAATATTTGGATAAGTTTGATGACACTGCAGATATTCAAAAAACTAAACCAAGTTTTTCATGCCTCAGATAAACATTCAGAGCTAAATGAATTATTTTTGTTCAGGAAATACGAGGTAGACTAATAATAACCTATTGGTGATTTCTCTAGGAGGTATTCAAAACTGGTGCTAGTAATTTAACCATAATTGTTGACCAATCTCTCAAGTGTGGAGAAAGCATTAAAATAATAATAAAATAATAAGCCGAAGGGTGCGGTGGCTCATGCCTGTAATCCCAGCATTTTGGGAGGCCAAGGTGCGTGGATCACCTGAGGTCAAGAGTTCGAGACCAGCCTGAAGAACCTGGTGAAACCCTGTCTCTACTAAAAATACAAAAATTAGCCAGGCATGGTAGTGCATGCCTGTAATCCCAGCTACTCGGGAGGCTGAGGCAGGAGAATCGCTTGAACCTGGGAGGTGGAGGTTGTGGTGAGTCAAGATCGCACCACTGCATTCCAACCTGGGCTACAGAGCAAGACTCCATAATAATAATAATAATAATAATAATAATAAAGTCTAGGTCTTCCACACTAGCCCACTTCTACTTGTATTCCCCCTCTCTCTCACACACACACAGACACATGCACACACACCACTCCAAGTTCCCAGCTAACGATGTATTTTTATAGTACTTAAGTACTTACCTATTTTTCAAACCATTTGTCTTCAAAGCATTTTTCTACAGTTTTTCTTATTGGAGCCCCACAACAGCCTAGTGAAGCAGGACAGAAAAGTAGCCCTGTTCCCATTTTACTGATTGGGAAAGTGAGATTCAGGAAAATTAAATTATTGCACTGGATCACACAACAAGAAAGTGGCAGAGCAGGCCGGGCGCGGTGGCTCAAGCCTGTAATCCCAGCACTTTGGGAGGCCGAGACGGGCGGATCACGAGGTCAGGAGATCGAGACCATCCTGGCGAACACGGTGAAACCCCGTCTCAACTAAAAAATACAAAAAACTAGCCGGGCGAGGTGGCGGGCGCCTGTAGTCCCAGCTACTCGGGAGGCTGAGGCAGGAGAATGGCGTAAACCTGGGAGGCGGAGCTTGCAGTGAGCTGAGATCCGGCCACTGCACTCCAGCCTGGGCGACAGAGCCAGACTCCATCTCAAAAAAAAAAAGAAAAAAAAAAAGAAAGTGGCAGAGCCAAGATATCAGTCCGGGTCATACAAGTGTGCTAAGTGTCACACCTTGAGGAGAAAGCCTGAGCGCACTTGCATCCCTGGGAGTACTATTAGAATCCAGCACCACTACTTCAATCTCCAATACCTGCCAAGGAATGGGGCTGTCAGGAATCAGGTGACTTTCGAGTCAGTCAACTCTGCCATGATGCTGGGGGCTAATTTACCACATGTCATCATGATCAGCACTTAAGTATCTCTTTACACTTGGCAATATTCTAAATGCTCTATGAAGCAGTTGCTCATATTCTCTTTCCTCTCAGTACTTATATGACAGTAATTCAAACAATATAACTTAATGCAATGATCTGATAGGAGATGGAGAGATTCCTACTGAGTACTTGTGAGATTGACAGGTTAAGTAATGACCAACTGTGACTCCAGAGAATTTTTAAAAATCTTATCAAGCACCTCTCTCTCATATTATCAACTTTGGTGCCCTGGATTGGTGGATTTCATTTTGGACAATGTAATATAGGAGCCAGTTTTGATGAAATAAGCAGTTTGGGGTGTTTTTCTTCTCCAGCAATTTAGAGAAAACTTAGTTTAGCAGGCAATAAAATATCTTTAGGACTGAAGAAATAAACTGGGAGTATAAACAGTCATCTACTGGCAAAGGAGAAAGGGTCTCCTAAGAAACAAGAGAGAATGCTTTTAATTAACCCTTTGCTGCTTTAACTATAATACAGGAGGATAGTGCTGGAATATCATTTCATTTGAAGTAGGCACCTTAGTCTGTGCCCCCAATGGCCCTGTTTGTTTGACACATATGTTGGGCTGCATTATACATTACTATACTGGTCTCTCCACGTAGGGCCCAAGAGTCTTGCTCTCAGGTGCCAAGGTTCTCCTCGGGACAGAAAATAGTTACTGCATCAGTTAATGACTTTCCAGTTAGTTACTTTGTATGAGCTCCTGGGGCTACAGATGTTGACAGCATTTTTAGACTCCAGGCTCAGTCGTCAATCATCTTTGCAAAGAAACAGATGGAAGGGGATGTAAGGGGAGTAAGAATGCCATTAGAATTTTTTTTTCCAAAAGCACAATGGTTGATGGTTAGGCCAACCTTGTGGAAAATGTTAAACAGCGATGATAATAAGAGAATGACAATTTAGTTTTTAGGTCTAGGAAGCTGGTGCTCATGGGCTTTTGAGAATAACAGTCAAGTTTCAAATCATTATTTTGCCACCTATTAGTCGTGAGTCCCTTAGGCACATAATTTCATCTCTCTGTGCCTTACTTTTCTCAGTTGTAAATTGAAAATAATAAAAATAGCACCTATGTTATAGAGTTGCTATTTGAATTACAGAAGATAAGCTTTCTAATGCTGAGTCCAGTGTCCCTCAAAGAGTAAATACTCAATTAACTTTCATTGTTATTGTGATATTGTTATTGTCAATATCATTATTTTTGGTATGTTATAGTTGCCATTTTTATTCCAGAAATATATTATCTTCAATAAAAACCTAAAGCATGCCTTCTTAGAAAAACCAGGTCCAGACACTGGATTTTGAACTTTTTAAGTGTGCAGCACTTTGATCATGATGGAATGGTGAGATATGTGCTTCCACCCACTAGTCACAGGACAGCAAGCTCTGGACTCCATCCTTCTGGTGGCCTGCAGCTATTGAAGTACTTGCTTTAAGTGCTGTTACATTACCAGAAAGGAGCAAGATTTAGAACTCACTGGCATTTTGATGTGGGTGGGTAGAGGGAAAACATGTGGCTACAGTTGTCATTTCCCGCAACTGTAGCATTTTTATATTTGAAATTAAGAGAGCTGTACTGGTTGCTGGATCCCAAGCACCCACTGTGGCCTTTCAACTATCCAGCTAACTCTTACAGTCTCCTGCAGGCCTCTTCCCCTCTCTTGCTTTTTTACTATTCAGCTTAAAGATTTCAAGTGAGCAACTCTTCATCAAGGTAAATTTGGGGACGCATTTTAAAGAATCCAGCTTGGTAATTTAAAAAATACTGTCTAGTCTTCTCTTCTGAAATAACATAAAATAAATAAGTGACATACTTCTGTCCCAGTAGGCTTTGTATTAAACATGTGAGTCATTTTGTTCTTTTGTACCTATCACTCCTATCACCATAGGAAGACAGAGGGAGAAAAACACCTTGTAGTATCCCCCTCATATTTCTAAGCACAGCCAAGTTCAACAGGTTCAGCAAAAGATAAGTTATTAGTTAAAAGTTGCAAGTTGCATCCTCCACCAGTTCTACCCTATGTATCCTGACACAAATAAGCACTGCCTTTGTCAATGAGTTTCCTCACTTATGTCATTCATAGTAGATGCAGAGATATCCAAACCAATCATCCCAGATAACTTAATTTGAATTTATGTACCTGTAATTCTCTGGGCATACTATGTTCAGTTCTAGAAGTCTTACGGGATCAGTTGACACTTACCTTTCCCAGGTGCAAAGGCATCATACTGCAGCAGTTCCTTATTCATATACTTCTCAATTTTACATTTAAAAATAGGAATTTGTAATTAAAACAAAAAGCAGATATATGTTTAAGGATCAAAAGTTAATTGAATTGAAAGTCAATTCCATTAATCTGGGATTTGGAACACATATCAGATAAAGTCATTATTGTCCAAAAACACACCGCTTACCTCTTTTCTCAATTTTGCTTGTCTTACCTTGCAAAAGGCTTTCAGTTCTACAGTGGCATCTTTTATCAAGTACATTGTGTTGTGCCGGTGGCTGAAGAAATAAGATTTTTTTAAAAGGTTGATTCTGTTTTTTAATTTTGAAACACTAAAAAAATAACTAGGTTGGATCATATAAAATTTGCATTTTTATAGATCAAAATCGTTGGGCACTGGCAGTTTCATATGGCTCATATAAAATTAAAGGAGACCTTCAATTTATATTCTGCCTTTCCTAATTCATGACTGTTAACATTCTGGGCCAGATGCGGTGAGTCCCTGCCTAAAAAAGAAAAATGGAAAAAAAAGGGTTATAGATGCTTCCACTCACTTTATTTTATTTATTTATTTATTTATTTATTTATTTATTTGAGACACAGTCTCCCTCTGTTACTTAGGCTGGAGTACAATGGCGCAATCATAGCTCACTGCAGCCTTGAGCGCCCAGGTTCAAGCAATCCTCCCACCTCAGCCTTCCCAGTATCTGGGACTACAGGCATGTGCCACCACACCCAGCTAATTTTTGTATTTTTTGTAGAGAAAGGGTTTCACCATGTTGCCCAGGCTGGTCTCCAACTCCCAGGCTCAAGCGATTTACCCTCCTCGACCTCCCAAAGTCCATTATAGGTATGAGCCACTGCACTCAGCCTTCCACTCACTTTTTAAATGAAATAAGCCATTACAGATCAAGTTAAAGCCTCTTTTAATACCGCTGCAGACCCCTGGCTCTCTCTGTCCCCAGAGGCAATGTTATCTGAATTTTATGCGTATTCTTCTCATCATTTCACACATGGATACCACAATGTAAATCTATTTTCATTCATGTTTTTCTTACTCATTAATGTTACTTTAAACTTGATTGTCCTCTCCTGTAAAGGAGGAAAGGGATGGCCTTTGACTGGCTTTCTCATGTAGAATCTCTCTTAGACTTTTACCCTGTTTCTTTTTCTCTTTTTTTCTAAAAAATTATAAAATGTCTTAAGAAAACCTAAAGCTCTCTTTGAATTATCTGTTTGAGGAGTTCTCAATAAATCTCACAGAAGACACCCACCTCTTAACTCTGCGGTATAAGGAAGGCAGTTCAAGCCCATATAACCCAGGGAAAACTAAAATTCTCATTTTTTCTTCTGTCTTCAACCTCCTCTTAATCTCAAATTTCACATCCACCAAAGAAAAAACATATTCTTTCTAGATGTATCTTATTCTTTTTTTATCAGTGAGCCTCTGTTATGACGTTAATAAAATAGTGACGTGACCAAACATTGAAAGAATGAAATGACCTATGAATTGGCACTAGCATGTATGGTAAAATAACATGAACCAAATCAGAAAGGGAAAACTTTTCTTTCCCACAATTCCAACCAAAGCAGCCATGAAAACAAAGACAGACTAATAAGACTTTCAGTATTAAAAAAAAAAAAAGTTGGAAGGAATATTGCACTTGGCAAATTCCTCTGTTTGATCCGAATGGGGTTGGAACCCCTTTACAAACTCTTTTTCATGATAGTCACTTATTTAAAGTAATATCACATCAACTTCTCCATACTACATAATTAGAAATGCTTTACCCCTTTCTCAATTAATATCAAAGTTATAATATATACAAGATTTTTAAAGCTTCTTTGTTTGAATCCTGAATTAATTTATGTACCCATATTTTGGATCCCAACTGAAGCTAATCTCTATAATGTTATAATGGGGTAATAAAATTCATTTTTGTAACTATGGCATATTTGAATGTTGAATAATTGTATTCCAGTATGTCTTTTCTCTTTGTTAGTTTGCTTTATTCTTACTACATTTGTATTGCAGCCTTCCTTGCTTTGCATTAATAAGTGTGCTACAATGATGTTATAATCGTTTTTAGCAAAGAGAGATTCTGCATGAAACATTTTTATGACTTCTCAATATGGCAAGTTTAGGCATTAAAGTAAATCTCTCTGTCACAATTAATGTTTAATCTGGATTTTTATAATACTAACAGACATACGTTAGACTGTATTTATTTAAATAAATGCCATTCTCCCCAGGGGTTCACAGTCACTGTGGTACAACTCACTACACTGATGGTTCAAAGTCTTTCCTGTTTGTTATTCTTCTATCTAATGGCTGTTGTTACCACTGAACTTCCTTGAATAAAATATTCTTTCTTTTTCTTGCAATTGAAGAAGTTTAGAATGCTCAAAGAAGGACTAGTGATTCAAAATGCATTGACAGTCTGGAAACCTGAGCTAAACTGATCCATAATGGCTTATCTTTCCTTAGACTAGGTCATCTAATTTAGTAACTACCCTCCCAATCTCTCTACCTTTTCTATCTTCATGGAAGTTTCTTGTTTTTAAATTTTCCTTTAATAGGAAGTCAGTCAAACTGTTTTGAAAAGTTGGCAGGTTCTAGGAAATATGCTGGAAAAAATAAGAACATAAAGAGTCTGATCCAATTTAAATAGAATATTAAAATGGAAGGGACCCCAGAGATTGAATGCTGTGTAATAGAAACATATTATGTGCCATATATGTAATTTAAAATTTTCTAGTAGCCAATTAAAAAGGAAAAGAGAAATAGGTAAAGTTATTCTTAATAATATTGTATTTAATCCAATGTGAGCAAAATATTATAATTTCAATATGGAATCATTACAGAAATATTAATGAGATATTTTACTAAGACTTTTTTGTACTAAGACTTTGAAATCCAGTGTGTAATTTGTGCTTCCAGCATATCTCAATTTGAACCAGCCACATTTCAAATGCTTAACAGCAGCATGGACATACAGGCTATCATACTGGGCAGCGATGACCTAGGCAATTGCCTGAGTTTTATCAATGTAGAACATACATCAAGAGAGGACAAATGGCAGACCCAGGGTGTCAGCCAGTCAGTGCCAGATCTCAACCCAACATTCTGACTCACAGTTCAGTGTTCCTGCAAGCACAGTGGTAAAATCAGGTCTGGGGCTTTGATGACATTGCACTAGGTACTATATTATTACTACTTAAAGCAACCTTGCAGGAACCAGAGTTTATCCTCATTTTCAGAATAAGATATAAAAGCTCAGAGATAAGAAATTACCTCCTCAGGCTTAGATCTGAGACCAGTTTTGTCTGACCGCAAAGCCTGGGCTTTTTTTTTTTTTTTTTCTTGTATCCCAATGTCCTTTCTCTCCAATCTAAGACCCTTTAAGACCATGACTCCAAGTGTGGTCTAAGGAGCAGCAGCATCTGTTGCCTCTAGGAGTTTGTTAGAAATGCAAAATCCTAGGCCGGGCGCGGTGGCTCAAGCCTGTAATCCCAGCACTTTGGGAAGCCGAGGCGGGCGGATCACGAGGTCAGGAGATCGAGACCATCCTGGCTAACACGGTGAAACCCTGTCTCTACTAAAAAATACAAAAAAAAAAACTAGCCAGGCGAGGTGGCGGGCGCCTGTAGTCCCAGTTACTCGGGAGGCTGAGGCAGGAGAATGGCGTAAACCCGGGACGCAGAGCTTGCAGTGAGCTGAGATCCGGCCACTGCACTCCAGCCTGGGCGACAGAGCGAGACTCCGTCTCAAAAAAAAAATGCAAAATCCTGAGCCCTGCTTCAATACCTATAAGGCTGCATTTATCAAGATCCCAAGTGATTCATGTAAAATCTAAGCCATCTCAACAAAACACAAATCTCTCTATAAATTAAAAGAATGTCTGGGAAAATGGATTTCTACCCTGTCAGACATATGGCAGATAATCAGAAATACCTTTTGGATTGAATTACAGCATGAGAAGAAAAAACCAGCTTGAATATTTAAGGAAAAAGAAAAAAAATAGAATTTTTCATTAAAAATGGGTTTCCAAAACTAAATCTTGAAATTATAAAATGCCCTATCAACCATCCTAACACCTGTCTTCTTCCCTCTTAATCTCTTCCACTCTCCTTAGGTCATAGGTATGTAAACTTTCGTTCCCCCCAAATTCACTGAATGACAAGGAAACGTTAATGTATTTGAATGGAAGTGTGGCAACGTTACACAGGGAAAAGTGGTATAAGAGTATTTTTGCCAGATGAAAAAGCAATGCATCAGCCAAATAGAATTGTCAAGATGTGCAGTTCATGGCAGGATTTGCAGCTCACCATGTTCTACCTCCCATGGAGCTCTGTCCATTTCTTGACATTAGGCTCCAGCTGAGATTTCTTTGGTGTTCCTGAAAGTGGCTCTCGCTAATAGGTCAAAGGTTGATTGTGTATTTATCCTGAGCCTCTTCAATCACATTTTCAGTATTTTCCTCATGTGTCATGACACCTTCAGCTCTTCCTTTCATTCAGTGTCAGGCAGTTCATTAAGCAGATGTTCAGTCTGGATGTTTTGGGTAGAAAATGAATGATGTGAATAGCACAGGTCCTCTCCAAAAGGCTGAATGTGCGGAATGCTGCTCAGTGAGGTGTTTGTCCCTCTTTCCCACTTCCTAACTCCATGGGGCATTGCTGGCTATTTTTGTCCTTTAGAAAACAACAGCAATGTGATGTATAATAGCAGGGTTCTAACCAATATTTCATTGTGTCGCACAGGGACCGCGCAAACTGTGTGTTAAGGAGATGAACAGTGGCATGGCGAAAAAACAGGTCTGGCTTACAAAGAACAAAATCAAGGCTTTTTACGCTGCAGTGGCGGCAGACTGTTTCAGGGATGGTGTCCGAAGTCTCCTTCAGGTAAGGCTGCATTTGGGGAATGAGCACAGAGGCAAAGAACAATGAGTGCTCCATGTTAATGAGGCTCCCAGAGTGAACGGCTGTAGTTAGGCAGCCCAGCATCAGAGATCAGTGCAGATGGTTAAGGAATTATTTTGAATTCCTGGGTATAGGCAAAGCTAGAACAAAAGCAGAGAAGTTCTATTACAATGAACTATGAATGATACACTGGAAATGGAAAATGAGGTTGCCTTTGGCCACCAGCATACATTCTGCCCCCGTACTTATTGAAATGCAAATTTGTTCTGGTGGTTGACGACATTCAGGATCCTATTGAAACTTCAAACTATTTTTATATCTCATACTGCATATAGCAACGCTCAAGTCAGGCATTCTTTTCCTTTTTTCTTTTGCAAATGGTGTTAGGGCAGCTGCTAGACCAACTAAATTAATGCATGGTGATCTGGGCATAAAATCTCCCTATCCTCCTGAATTATTTCCAGAACATTGAATAAAATGTAATAATCTCTACAGCTCAACCTTAAATCCCACAGTTCTCTCATCTTTTCTCCCTTATTTTTTTCCTTTTTCCTTCCTTTATCTCTGCTATAGTAAGTACATAAAATCTTTCCCTAGTTCTGATCTTCACAATTTAGAGTGACGGAGAATCCTTAAAACAAACAATCCAAGAGACCCTCAGAAATTGTAGAGCTTGGCTTTCTGAGCATTTTGGGTTTAGTATGGTTGAAAAAGCCTAATTATGTATATATGAAATGGTGCATTTGGCTTTCAGAGTTACCGTATCTCAGAGTGTCAGAAGTCAGAACTGCATCCAGGTAACTCCGATGCACATGCAGGCAGGGAAGAAAAAATATTGGTTAAGCTTAATTGGTAATGTTTTGGAGCTTAAGAGTATTTGATACAATCCTGTGTCTAATTTCCCTTAATAACACTTGTGAGGTAGCTGCACATGCAGAGAAACCATTTCTGCAAAACCTATTACCCACAATGAGCACCTTTTCATCTATTAATTTGCTAAACCATGGAAATAGGTGTTACTGCAAGATGCTGATTTTTCTTTCCGTACAAAGTTAGTTTTCAATAGCTCTTTGGTTAAATATATTGGCACTATTAGTCATTTATTATAAAATTATCACAGAAGATTTGTAAAACAAAGTTTTCAACTAGGAATGGGAATGTGGACATAAAATAAGAGCAAGGAAAGAAAAGACACAAGTATGAAAAAGAACTCTTAGATTAATCCAGAAGAAATGGTAGAAAATTTGAACATGCATACATTCACATGCATTTCTTCACATAAAAAGTGAAGTACAGGGGAGCCATGGCAAAAGGACAAGACAAAGTGACATTAAAGGAAGCACTGCAGTTATATCATCTCAAATAAAACCATCTTTGCATCTAAGAAGTTATGGTACAAATTATCAAATCCTCAGAGTGTACCTGTGGAAAAGACTACATCCATAACTTCTTACTGCCACACATTTGCCAAGGGCCAAATGAGGACTCCAAGAAGCTGCTGGGCTAGGAACAGTGCACCAAATGTTTTGGAGGCAAAGTTTATTTCAGGAGCCCTCCTTCATTGCCTATCTCCTTCCACCTGCTACCGTTTCCTCTAAAATGTCCAGCTCTGGCATTCCTTTCACTCTTCCCATGACACAGAACTACCTTCCATGACTCCCACTGCTCTCTCATCTTATTTTTTTTTTATTTGAGATGCAGTTTCACGCTGTCACCCAGGCTGGAGTGCAGTAGCACGATCTTGGCTCACTGGAACCCTCGCCTCCCGGGTTCAAGCGATTCTCCTGCTTCAGCCTCAAGAGCAGCTGGGATTACAGGCGCGCACCACCATGCCGAGCTAATTTTTTTTATTTTTAGTTGAGATGGGTTTTCACCATGTTAGCCAGGCAAGTCTCAAACTCCTAAGCTCAAGTGATCTGCCCACCTCAGCCTCCCAAAGTGCTGGGATTATAGGCATGAGCCATCGCACCTGGCTGCTCTCCCATCGTTACCTGTCAATGTCTCACCAACTCCCAAGACTCAGTCGAAATACCACCTCTCCTATGAAGCTGGCCATGAATCTTCACCTGTAATTCAAGTTTCCTTCCTTTGTTCTTCTATATGAGTTTCTATTACATTCGCATGTATATTAGAAGTATTTGTGTAAATATTGTCTTCTTCACCATGTTTAGTTCCATGAGGCCAAAGAATGTGCTTTACCACTCTCCCACCAAAACTGACGTAGCACTGTGCAATTCATAGATGCTTAGTAATATTGTCAAATTAAATTTGATTAACTGGAAGCTGTATGCTGTCATCTAATGAAGGGAAACAACACTTCTGATATGGAAGACGGCTATTAATGATACTGTCATATAAAAGAATTAGGTTTTGGAAACATAATTCAGTCACTCTTCAATAAATAACATAAGTAGAGATTTCAGTGATCCTTGTACATAAGAATTTTCCAAACATGGATTTTATTGCTGATGACATTATGGATATAACAGGTGGAAATGAGCTTTGAACCACTAAGTTACAACATGCATACCAACAGTTAAGCTGACCCTCACTTGATTTTAAATTATTGAACCATTTTAATGAGTGTGTCAGAAGAAATGCAAATGACTGCTAATTTAGAAAAGCTACATTTCTGTCATCTAAAATCCATTTATAGCTGAGATGATTTAGAATTAATCTTTCTATTTTATGCTTGGGTACGGGCATGAAGGACATGCACTAAAATGTAATCTAATCTTCAGAATCTTCAGAACATTACTTCAGTGCTCCTTTAGACATTATTTTTCATTTGTGCTGGTAGTTTCCCAGTACGGTAAGGATTGCCCATGTTTTTATGTCCTCTGTTTAGGCCTCAGGCTTAGGAAGAATGAAACCAAACACTCTGGTGATTGGATATAAGAAAAACTGGAGGAAAGCTCCCTTGACAGAGATTGAGAACTACGTGGGAATCATACAGTAAGTGATGGCTTTCAAGACGTGTTCTTGTTTATAAAGCACTAACCAGGGCAGTACATAACTTGTACTGCACATAACACTGTTGTGTCAGATTAAATTGCCTGAGAAGAGCACATTCCCCTGGTACTCTGACTTCTTTCCCAAGGTGAAGAAAACACCACCAATAATAGAGTTTGAGGGAATCAGAGTGTCAGAGGAGGCAGGGTGAGAGAAACACCAGTGTCAGAGAAAAAAGTAAATGTTTAGAGTTACAACCTTAAGATCTATTTACAAGATTAAAAGCAAAGCACAGCTAAGCAAAGAGAAATTTTTCTTTCAAAACACCTGGAATCTTGGGTTGGCTGGTGTCTCCAATTCAGTCATTGTCTTCTTCTGAGTCTCTGATAATTCGTTCACTATCCCAGAGCCCTATATCTCCCTCTGCTAAGAGGCTCCCATATGCCAGGTGCTTCTGTTACCAGGTGGAGCGTCAATGGCTTGTGCACAGAATGTGAGTTTCTGGTGGTACATAACCTCTAATAGCTTAATATTTGAGGAGGCTTAGGATACAGGTGATAATGATAGATCTTAAAGGACTAGCAGGCAGCAGGCTAATGTCTTTAACATGAATTATCTCATTTAATTCTCATAGAAAGATTTCGAAGAAAGTACTATTATTTTTTTCCGATTCTACAAGTGGAGACAAAGACATTAAAAATTAAGTAGCATACTGAAAAATCTCAGCATTTAGTGACAGAGCTGGAATTCCAACCCAGGACTATCCAAATGCAAAGCTGAAACTCAGGACCATAATGCTATGCTTTCTCTATATATTATATACTCCAAAACAAGTATTATATATTTTATACTATATATAATATATATTACATACTTCAAAGTATTTTATATATATTATATACTCCAAGTATTACATTATATATTATATACTCCAAAATTGTGTGTATATGTATGTATAAATATATATGTTTGTGTATATATGTGTGTGTGTATATATATACTCACAGTTTTGGAGTATATAATATATAATACTTGGAGTATACATATATACATATAACACTTGGAGTATATAATATGTAACATTTGGAGTATACATATATACTCCAAGTATTACCTGGCTTAGTTTTTTTCCTTTGAATAAGAGAAAACAAATTCTACACATACAGAGAGAAACACTGTAGAAAGTTGAGCCTTTCAACCAGACCAGGCACGGTGGCTCATGCCCGTAATCCCAGCATTTTGGTAGGCCGAGACGGATGGATCACCTGAGGTCAGGAGTTCCAGACCAGCCTGGCTAACATGGTGAAACCCCGTCTCTACTAAAAATACAAAAATAATACAAAAATTAGCTGGACATGGTGGTGGGTGCCTACTCGGGAGGCTGAGGCAGCAGAATTACTTGAACCTGGGAGATGGAGGTTGCAGTGAGCTGAGATTACGCCACTGCACTCCAGCCTGGGCAACAAGAGCAAAACTCCATCTCAAAAAAAAAAAAAGAAAAGAAAAGAAAGTTGAGCATTTCTTCTAGGCTTGAAAATACTCCATCAGACTCCAGAGGGGTAATGTTAGCTATGCCCAAAAGCCATCTTTTGTGTCAGCATCTCTGGAAATAGAAGGTTTCCTGTGTCTGGGATCTGGCTGCACTTTGATTTCAGACCACAGGGTACATGACATCCCCTGGGAGATACAGCTGCACTTCAAAGTTCATCCTATCCGCTGAAAACAAGTATACGCTTAGCACTTCTTAAAGTAGGCTATTTCTTCTACCCCTTGTTATTATAATCATAACATTTATCATTATATTGAGCAGATTTATGCAACATATTAACAAAAGCATTCTTAGTTCTATTGAAAGGAAGCTTAAGAAAATAACTTTCATCTTCTAAAAGTACAGGAATTACTGAACAAACAGAAATTCACTCAACGGTCTTTCTAATGTGCGGAACCTATCTATTAAGTGCATTGTGTTTCCTGAACATATAAAGCCTGGGTGCCACGTGCTGTCATCTGGCTCCTGCTGGTGTTATAAGTTCAGTAAGTTAAGGCTAAACCAGGTGATCGGGATAAGAATTTTACCAGGCTCAGCAAACAGTATTTTGATATATTTAGAATCAGTCAGTTGCTGATCAGACATTCTTGGAAATTGACCAGATCTGTCCTCTGTTATCCAGATTCTTCAGTAAAATTTCATCTTCACCTCGGGGAACAAAAGGGATGGGTTGGCAAAGGGGAGAGCAAATAAGAAGTAATGTGTAAATCTTCAACAAAATAGTCCATTATTTGATACAGAATTACTTCAGACTGTCTTCCAACCTCCCTACCATCCCAAACATTCTAGAAATCCAAAGGGAGCAAAATAATCAAACCCAGTAATACTGAACCAAGGAGGTCTCTGGCTTTTATAGAAAATTAATAATAGATCTCCTTGGTAATTAAAGTTCAGTATTAGGGTGACCCATATTTGTACTAGTATAAAACCTAACTGGATTGGTAAAATTAAATAACTTTACTAGCACAGCAATGAGGCTAATAGTGACAATCATGTGTCCATATTACATTTCCCTTTCCAATTTTTGTGGCTTTATGACTTAAAGTACAGTATTATTGTTAACACAGGGGTATTATTATAAAACTATAGTATTTTACCATTTTTCTTTTTCTTTTTTTTTTTTTTTTTTTTTGAGACAAGAATCTCCCTCTGTTGCCCAGGCCAGAGTGCAGTGGTGCGATCTCGGCTCACTGCAAGCTCTGCCTCCCGGGTTCATGCCATTCTCCTGCCTCAGCCTCCCAAGTGGCTGGGACTACAGGCGCCCGCCATCATGCCCGGCTAATTTTTGCATTTTTAGTAGAGACGGGGTTTCATCATGTTAGCCAGGATGGTCTGGATCTCCTGACCTCATGATCCACCCGCCTCGGCCTCCCAAAGTGCTGGGATTACAGGCGTGAGCCACTGCGCCCGGCTACCATTTTTCTTTGAATAAAATATTTTAAATGTCTGTAATATTCTTAAGTATGGTTTAGTGTTTTGTTTGTTTGTTTGTTTTTAGGACAGAGTCTTGCTCTGTTGCCCAGGCTGGAGTGCAGTGGCGCAATTGTGCTCACTGCAACCTCCAGCTCCTGGGTTCAAGCAACTCTCTTGTCTCAGCCTACCAAGTAACCAGGACTACAGGTGCACACCACCATGCCCAGCTAATTTTTATATTTTTTGGTAGAGTTGGGGTTTCACTATGTTGGCCAGGTTAGTCTTGAACTCCTGTCCTCAGGTAATCCACCACCTTGGCCTCCCAGAGTGTTTAGATTACAGATGTGAGCCATCTTACCCAGCCAAATATGGTTTAATTTTAATTAGAATTTGTATGTATTAGTTTTCAATGGCTGCCATAACAAAGTACCTCAAATTTAGTGGCTTAAAACAATACTTTAGGCTGGGCACAGTGGCTTATGCCTATAATTCCAGCACTTTGGGAGGCCGAGGTGGGCAGATCATTTGAGGTCACGAGTTTGAGACAAACCTGGTTAACATGATGAAACCCAACCTCTACTAAAAACACAAAAATTAGCCAGGCATGGTGGTGTGCACCTGTAATTCCAGCTACTCAGCAGGTTGAGGCAGAATCATTCGAACCTGAGAGACGGAGGTTGCAGTGAGCCAATATCACACCACTGCACTCCAGCCTGGGTGATAGAGCCAGTCTCTGTCAAAAACAAAAAACAAAAAACAAAAAACGACCACACACAATACTTGATTATCTTACAGTTCTGTAGAATAGAAGTCTGGCATGTGTAGGCCAGGCTGCATTCCCTTCCAGAGGCTCTAGGATAAATTTCTGACCTTGCCTTTTCCAGCTTCCAGAAGCTTCCCTCCTGTGGGTGTGGCTCAGGAATGCCTTCCTCAATCTTCAAAGCCAGCAATGGCTGGTCAAGTTCCTCTCATATCACATTACTATGACCTCCTCTTATGCCTCCTAATTTCACTTTTAAGTACCCTTGTGATTACTCTTGTCCCATCCAGGTGATCTAGGATAATCTCCCCCATCCCAAAGTCCTTAACCTAATCACATCTGCCAAGTCCCTTTTGCCATGTAAGGAAATACATTCACAGGTTCCAGGAATTAGGATACTTTGAGGGTGCATTATTCTACCTAACACAGAATCCAAATTTTTTTTGTGGAGCACATTGTCTACTTTTTATAATTGAGGACAATCAGAAACAAGATTTGTTTATGAGGAATTTACTTTGTAACAACTTGTGCCAGAATGGACCTATTCTGTTAAGAAAAGATTATTTATGGTTTGGATTTTGAGTGGATATTCATATTGCTCCAAACTTATGTATACCAAATGAAAACGCAGGTTGACTTTGGCCATTGGAAACTGTTTGCACATGGTGGGACAAGTGTTTTTGGGGTAGGATGACCTAATGGCAAGAAGTCGTTAAGTTTTAGATCCATAGAAGTATAAACAAAGGACCTCCCAATGAAAAAAAATTTAAATGACTCAAAGTATTAATTGACTTGCTTCCATGTTTAGCACCAGAGAAAACATTTATGTCTTAAACTTTAATCTCTTCAAACAGAGATAAAAGAAAGACAGACTTTTATTTCTCTTCTAGGTAATCAAATTCCTTTGGGTTGCGTACAGAGAAAACACAGGAGTGAGTACGTAGGGTTACCATGAAAAAGCATTGCTCCAAGTGACCAGTTTAGAGTCAATTCTGAAAATAGAGGAACTGGAGACATTTCTAACCATGTACTTGATATCAGAAATGTTATAGGAGTCCTTCTAGGAGGCAGCCATGTTGGGGGTGGCGGCGAATCATTTCAAAGAGTCTTTGCAGTCTGTAAACTCTGTGTTCTAAATATGCCAGTGATTGTTTTGCTCACTGTATAAAAGATTCGATTATTTTTAAAAGATGCGACAAGCTCTTAATCAAAATTCTGATGTAGAGTATTATTTGAATAAATTGGTTAGAGTGAATAATTTAGTTACCTCTACCCAAAATATACTTTAAAAAGGCATAAGGGAAGAACAAACAAACAAACACATGCATCAGCTCTTGGCTATATTCTAAAGTGGATTTTAATAGTTTCATTATATCAAAATCCTGGAAGCAAGTATAATACTAGTCCTAAGCTTGAGGATTAAAATAGCCATTTAAAACACTAACTGCTCTGCTTCCTCTTTCAGTGATGCATTTGATTTTGAGATTGGCGTGGTTATAGTCAGAATCAGCCAAGGATTTGACATCTCTCAGGTTCTTCAGGTGCAAGGTATGTACTTTCTTTATTCAATCAACAAGTATTTATTGAGCACCTACTTTGTGCCTGACATTGTTCTAGGATATAGCAGGACACGATATAGACAAAACTCCTTAATGGTGGCGCTTACGTTCTAGTGCTAACTCATAGTGCATATAGTTCCCCCAGTATTTTCTCCAATGCTAACACAAGCAGCCTTTGCCCTGCTAATCACAAATATTGAGGAATTCAAGGTGGTCATCAATTATTTTTCTTATCACAAAACCACAAAGCCAGCATCAAGGAAAATAAACAACTTCAGTAAAATAACCTGCCAAATTAATTTCTGCAAGATGTTTCAGAAAATGAAGATTAATTCTTTCCCCAGAAAAACATGTATTTTGCTTTTGAGAGTCTATGAACTGGTTTGTAGCTAACATGGAAATGAGCCTGAATGTATCATGCTGTGAATCACTAATCTAAGTCAGAGGCAGAAACACTAATTCAAATTAGTGACTCTTTGTTTTTTCCCTGTAGAGAATTTGGTATACCTGCTTAGTCTTAGAATTTAAACATACTCTCTTGTGTATGAAATAAAGAACATACTGATATACTTACTGAAAAATTAGCACAAGACATGAATTCATGACTCATCTCTTCCACTGAGCCTCACAGCAGAGTCCGCTTACAACACAACATTAAGAAAAAAATGATGCTTTTCTGGTGCCTGTTATGTGCCAGGCATAGTGTAGGTGCAAGTGGTGCTGGGTAGACTAAGATTAATAAATTCTGTCTGTGCCCTCAAGAGACACACAGCCTAGTAAGGGAAGTAGATCAATTATTAGCATTATAATAAGTATAAATAAGGAATTATGGGAAAGAAGGAAGGGGCATCTACCTCACTCCAAAAAGGCGTTCTGGAGAAAATTACCTTTGATTTGAGATTTACTGGATGAGTAGGAGTTAACCAGACAAAGTCGAGCAAGAGAAAAGTAAAGAGACAGTTTGGAGAATGCATTCCTGACAAAGAGGAAAGTGTTTGCAAAGGTGAGGACATGGGAATAGAGAGGAATGGAGTATATAGACAACCAAAAGCAGATTCATGTTACTGAAGTGAAAAGTAGGAAGCCAACAATAGTAAAATATGAGGCTGCCACTATAAGGAGGATCTAGACTGTAAAAGCCTCATTTGCCATATTAAAAAGATGGATCACATTCTGTAGATAATGAGGAACCATCAGAGAGATTCAAGTGAGGGAATAATGTGGTCAAACTTGGGTTTTAGATCTCATGCTCTTTCGGTTATACAGGGCATGGACTCAGGACTAGAATGGAAATAGATAAATCAAAGAGTTCTACAATAATCAAACAAGACAAGGTGACAGCTTGAACTAGGGCAGCCTCAGTTGGGATGGAGAGAAAAGAACAGAGTTGAAAAGTATTTTGCAGGTACGAAGAGCAGCGTTTGGGAGTTGATTGGATGTGTGGGATATGGGAAAGGGAGGAGTAAAGAAAAACTCCTTGGCTGACTGGATAAGCCAATGGAAATGGGAAATGCAAGAGGAAGTACAGGTTTAATGAGGAAATGCCTGGCTCAATTTCAAACAATCTCGTGTGGGAAATCCTACGGGAAATATCTAACAGGCAGTTAGACAGTCCTCATCGTAAAAAAGAAATCTGAACTGGAAATACAGATTTAGGAGATGTTATGGGCGGAACTGTGTCTCCCCGCCCCCACCAAATTCATATGTTGAAGTGTGAACCCCCAGGACCTCAGAATGTGACTGTATTTGGAGACAGCGTCTTTAAAGAGGTAATTAAGGTAAAATTAGGTTATTTGGGTGGGCCCTAATCCAATATTACTGGTGTCCTTATAAGAAGAGATTAGGATACAGACTGAGGGGTGATCATATGAAGATATGGTGAGAAGGCAGCTGTCTTCAAGCCAAGGAACGAGGCCTCAGAATGAAATCAGTCCTGCTGATGCCTTGATCTTGGACTTCTGGCCTTCAGAATTGTGAGGAAATAAATGTATATTGTTTACGACACCCTGTCTGTGGCATTTGTTATGGCAACCTGTGTGGACTAATACAGGAGACATCATGGCTAATGTGGATTGAAACCATCACCCTAGAAAATAGAACTCAAAGAGTGTGTGTAGCCAAGGACTCCAAAGAGTAAGAAAAAGTCCCCAAAGAAGAGAAGGAGAGGTCAGAAAGATGAAGAAACCAGAAGTCTGGAGTCAGGTAAACCATGGGAGTACAGTGCTCAAAATGAGAATAATCAACATTGCCAAATGCAGCAGAAATGTACAGTAAGATTATGAACCAAATGGAATTGGCATGACACAGGTAATCTTAGTGAAAGTAATTTCTGTAAAGCAGGGTTATCAGAATCGAGATTGCAGTGGGTTGAGAACAGACTATGAGATGAACGAGCAGAGAATATGGATGTAGCCAACCTTTCTGAGAAGCTTGGATGGTAACAAGAGGAATGAGATTGAGCAGGCTTACTGTGGGGAACCTATAGACCTCTGAATGGGAGATCAAATCATATTTCGACTGAGGAAATGGCACAAGAGAGTGCAAACATTGAAGATGTAGGCAAAGAAAGGGGCGACCCATGGAGTAAGATCCAGGAGGAACAGAAAATTGAGGGAAAGGCATGAATGGAAGAGTTGGCCTGAAACAGAAAAAAAAAACCAAAAAACACTTCATCTAAAATTGGAGCAAAGGAGGTGAGGATTGATGATGGGATACGTGGATTTGTGAGAGTGGAGTGATAAATCAAAGAAGATGATGCACGATAGTCTCAATTCTTTCTTTTAAGCTGGAGCAATGGTTTACTTCTAAAAGCAAGAGAGGAATGGTTTAACTGAGAATGAGAAGAAACTAGTTAAGCATTTTAAAAAGTCATGATAGAGAATGAAAAAGATCAGCAAGAACTGATCAGTGTACAACAGTGAAAACCCAGTTGTGGCTGTCCAGTTTTCTCTGGCAGCATGAAGTCTCCAAGGTACAGGAGCAGTACCAGGGTATTTCTGAGTAGGTTCAGCAGAAAGAAAAAGGAATTCTTAAGGGCTGTTGCCTGATTGGTTCTTATTCTATTTGCTGGTTCATGATTGTCTCCATCAAAACAGGAAAGAGTATGAGTGGATTAGGTGAATTTTCTGATGCAACCATTCTGGTATGTTGTAGGAGAAGAGGAGGAAGAAGAAAAAACTAGAGATTAAGTGTTTTTATAAGATAGCTACTATCTGATTATGTATACTCTATGATAATGAAGGGCATTAAAAAATAAAACTGCAAGGAGACTGCATCTTATGCAAAATTGTAGCACAAAAGGTTATCTCTTGGTGACTTTAGCCTTCCTTTGTATGCCCCTTTTCTTCTTTATGGATGTTTTAAACTCCAGATCAGAAATACTAACTCCCACTCACTGGGCATTCACTATTAATGTATATTCCCTCCTAGTAGAACTTAATACTTTGTAGCAACAATAGTTAAAATATTTGAGCACTTACTATGTGCCATCTATTATGCTTCATGTTCACATATAACATTTATCATCCCAGCTACCCTATGAGGAGAGTATTATCATTGTCCCCATTTTATAGCTGGTAAAATGGGGGCTTACCCAAGATTCACAAGGCTAGTCATTGGTAGAGCTGGGATTAAAACCCATATCTGTTTGAAGCCCCTGTTTTATCTTTGAAAAAGAAGAGCTAGAGAGGATGATGACATATAACAAGAGGCAATGGTGAAATCTGAGCTCTGGGAATGAGGCAGAGTTGTTTCTGTGTGTTCCTTAAGACACCCAACAAGGGGGCTGCCTGTCTATGGAAAGATAGACCTCACTTTGAGGGCAGTTACAAGAACTGAATAATAACAGAACTGTTCTGTTGCGAACTTCCTAGGTTTTACTTTAATTTTTTTTCCTGGCTTTTGTGCTATAATGTTTTCCATCTAAAAATGAGAATGCAAAATATAACTTGTATTTAGATTACACATTTGCTTTGTGTGTTATGTTGCTCTCTTCAAGCTGAAAGATATGATGTAGCTGAAAAGCATTGCTCCCACCCCTCATTGTTCCATCTGCCAAGATGCACCATCAATTTACTTCTATAAAGCAATACAGCAACCAAATTTTGCTGTATTTCTCAAAGAATCCTGGCAGTGAACTGCATCCCCTTTTAATTTCCCAAGGGTTGTATCCTATTTAAATAAACTTTGATGTTTGAAATATTTCTGCTTCTTAGTCAAGAAAGAAAAATACAATTGGATGCTAATAAAATAATTACAAGTACCAACTATCTAGGGTAAACAAAGAAAAACAGTATTATACAAGTACATGAAGAACATGCAGAAAAACAACATAATGATAGAAATTAACTTTCCGCCACATTTCCATGCATTGTTTTGAGGTTTATGTAATTTATGACACAAACCTCTTATTAGATTTTGAATTGGAAGAAATAAACTTGCATTTCATTATATTATGCTGTAATTCAGGGCCTAATAAGGGCCTGATAAATCTTAAGTATTGCATTATACTATGTTAATGATTATCATCATAGCTTTTCCAACACAGGCACTACAGTGTTATCACAGATTATAATTTAAAGGAAATATTAGCAATTCAGAGTGCCCATATACTGTAGTTAATAAAGCAGTGAATAGAAATCAGCTTTATAGATAATTTACCAGCTAATGGCAATTATTTTTATATTGTATTACAGGCTTATGTGAGGAGAATAACTTTTAATATAAATAAGATCGATGCTCATAACATTGTAACTTGTATACTGTAGCAACTCATCTAATACTGATGACTGATAGTTTCTCTTAATAAATTAATTTATTGCCTGACAGCACACACACACAAAAAAAATATGATATTTCATACTGGTCACCTCTCAGGGATATTTAGCAAGTTTTCCAACTACAACAAGGAGTCCAAATTATACTGGTAAGAAACAAAGTGATGGCACATGATTTGCAATATACTGTGGTCAAGTATTCCACATAAGTACA